GCGCGTGCTCCAGCGTCATCGCCGTCAACTCCTCCACCGCGTACGTCCCCGACCCAAGCTTCACTCGCGTCGCCCCATCCCTCGCATCATCACCGCGCACCTCGTACGCCAGTTTACTCCCCTCCACGATCGTTTCGACTCTCTTCGAATCCGCTCGCGCGCCCAGCGCGTCCCGGTGCCGCGTCGCCGTCTCCGTCGGCGCCCGCGCGTGCATGTCGTACGCCCGATCTCCCACGCTTCGCTCACCCATGCCGAACGACACCGCCACCGCTGATTTCCGTTTGCTCGCCTCGTTCAGCGCGATCGCGATCGGGGTTCGTCCCGGGGCGACGAGCGCCACCTTGAGATGTTCACCGCCCAGATCCACACCGACGACCGCCCCGTCGACGCGCGCGAGGACGGCGGCGAGGGCGAGGAGGATGGAAAGAACGCGCATGGTGTCCCTCGCGCGCGCGCGCGGTGTCGCGCGTCGGCGACGGGTTTTGAGGACGCGGTGGGGGATGATCTGGAACTGGGTGGGATTCGAGATGTTTCGATCACCGAGGGTCTGGCGAGTCGCGTCGGCGACGACGACGGCGCGGCGACGGCGGCGATCGCGGGGGGCAGAAGGCGGGTGAGAGAAGCTGCGGTGCGACGGTTACATTGAAATGGTGTGTTATGCGTGCGCGAGGGTGACGGAGACGCGGGCGCGGGCGCGGTCGACGTCGACGACGCGGACGTCGAGGAGGTCGCCGACGACGACGTCTCGCGAGCCGCGCGGGAGGGCGCTGACGTGAAGCAGGGCGTCTCGACCGATGCCGAGATCTAGAAAGACCCCGAAAGGGACGACGTTGCGAACGACGGCGTCGGTGATCTCTTCGCCGGGTTTGAGGTCGTCGATGGTGCGCGCGCTGCGGGCGGCGGATGTCGCTCGAAGACTTCGCGCGCTCGCGCGAGCGCCGGGACGCTCTCTTGCGTCTTTACCGGGCGTCGCGAGCTCGCCGACGATGTCTCGTAGCGTCAGTGGGTGACATCCCAGGCTCGACGCGCGCGTGGCCAGTTCCTGGTCGTCTCCAAGCAGAGCCGTGAGTTTGGGATGTAACCTCGCGAGTGTCTCCACGGATGTCGCAGACTCATCGTCGAGCGTGAGATCCACGACATCACTCCCGAGCGCGCGCAAGAGCTTTCTCGCGGTGTCATAGCTCTCGGGATGTACGGCTGTGCGCTCGAGCGCGTCGCTCGCGTCCGGGACGCGCAGAAATCCGACGATTTGTTCGTACGTCTTCGATCCGACGCCGCCGACGCGTTGAAGCTCTGCGCGCGCGGCGAACGGCCCATTATCCGTTCGATGCCGAACGATCTTCGCCGCGAGCGAGGGTCCGAGGCCCGGTATGCGCGCCAAAAGGGACTCCGACGCCGTGTTCGCGTTCGCTCCCACTCGAGCGACCGCGCTCTCGACCGTCGACGCGAGCGCATCCGCGAGCGCTTTCTCCTTTACGTCATGCTGGTACAATCCCACGCCGATGGATTGCGGGTCGATCTTCACGAGCTCCGCCATCGGATCCTGCGCACGGCGAGCGATGGAAACTGCGCCTCGAAGCGTGACGTCGACTCCCGGTAACTCTTTCGCTGCGAGCTCTGAGGCGCTGTACACCGACGCGCCCGCCTCGTTTACGACTTCCCACGTGAGTTCCGGATCGGCTTCACGCAGGGCGTCGCACACGAGCACTTGAGTTTCACGGCTGGCTGTGCCGTTCCCGATCGCGATCGCGGTGACGCTCCATCTATCGACGATCTCACGAAGCCGTTCCGCCGCGCCGGATTCGCCGCGTTTGAGCATTTTTGACTCAAACTGCTTCAAATACACGACACCCGTGTCCAGAAGAGCACCCGTGGCGTCGACCACCGCGAGTTTACACCCCGTTCGATACGCTGGATCTACGCCGAGCACCACACGCGACGGACGCATCGGTGGTTGCAAGAGAAGGGCCTCCAGATTGGTTCCAAAATCCTCCACCGCGCGCTCCAGCGCCATTGCCCTCAATCCACTCTTCACCTCGCGCTCGATGGACGGCACGAGCAGACGCTTGACGCCGTCTTCGATCGCTTCTTTAACAACGGCGAAACATCCTGGTCCTAATCTGCGGGATCCCACCAAGGCGTTCATCGCCGCCGTCGTCGCTCGCGACGCGTCAAACTCAACCTTCGCGCGCAGCACCTTATTCCCCTCGGCGCGAGAGATGGCGAGCATCTGGTGCGGTCGCACTCGACTCACCGGCACGGAAAAGTTCCAATAATCCTTCACGTCCATCGCGCACGCCCGAACGCGATCATCCGTCGGATTCGCGCCGAGCTTGGTGCGCTCGCACGTTAACCTTCCGTACTCCGTCGCCGACTTTCTCGCCGCCGCTCTCGCGCTCGGTTCGCCCGCCGCGCGCTCCGCCAGCACGTCTTTCGCCATACTCAGCGCGTTCTCGCGTGAACACGCGCCCTCGCGCGAGCGCACGAACTCACTGACCGCGCGTTCCACGCCCGCGCCGGTTTCGCTCGATAACAACCGCTCCGCGAGCGCGTCGCACCCAGCCTCCCTCGCTCGCCCCGCCCTCGACCGCGCGCGTCGTTCCACGCTCGCCAGTACATCCTCTAACTCCTCCTCGGTCGTCGCCGCGCGCGCACGCGCGACCAGCGTCTCGTCGCCCGTCTCGCTCTTCGCCAGCGCCCGCAGCGCGCGCCTCCGCAGCGTCTCCAACCGCTCCCGCGCCTCGTGCGCCGCCAGCGCCCGCCGGAGCTCCACCTCATCCATCCCACCCGTGACTTCGCGTCGATACCGCGCCACGAACGGCACCGAGCACCGTTCATCGACGAGCAAACGCAGCGCGTTCGCCGTCCCTCGCGCGTCTTCGCCCGCCGCCCCTCGCGCGTCTCCGCCCTCGCCATCCCACGCCCGTCTCCGCTTCATCCGCTCCACCCTCACGCGTTATCACTCAACGTCTTCCGCAGTCCCTCCTCCTGTCTCGAGTGCGCGTTCGGCGTCCTCGACTCCTCGCTCACGCCTCGCTCGGCGTCCGCGAACGCCGCCTCGCCCCGTCCCGTCTTCGCGCTCGCCTCCGCCGCCTCCCGCACCGCCGCCTTCCGCGCCGCCTTCCGCGCCAGCGCGTCCTCCAGATCCGCCCCGAGCGCGCGCGCGGGCGTCGACGCCGCGAGCACCGACGCCACGCCCACGAGGGCGACGCGTCGATCGATCGCGTCGACGTCGATCGCGTCGATGCGCGCGCGCGCGATCACGCGCCGTGGCGTCGCCGTCACGCGCGCGGGCGTCGCGAACGACGCGCGCATCGCCCTCGCGCGGCGCCGTGTCGAGACACCGACGACGCGTGACGTCGCGGTCGCGCGCGCGAGATTGACGCAAAGCCCCATCGCGACTCGAAACTTTGTGATTTGATGAATCACGAATCGTGATTCACGATCGCGACCGTCGCGTCGCGCGTCGACCGACGACGTTGTTCGCGCGCGACGATGCGAGAGGGTGTTTCTATCGCGTGCGCGCCGTTCGTGGACGCGTGTTTTGTTTACACACATTTCAATCGCGGCGCCGTTTCGAGCTCGCGCGACCCGTCTCGACGGGACGTCGGTGCCGACGTGTCGTCGTATCGGTGACGTGATGCCTATCGGTGATGTACAACGTGTCGATATCAGCACGTGATACGCTTTACGTACGCTCGATATGAAATCACGACGCGCGTCACGACGTCGTGACGCACACGAGCGTCGCGGCGTCACGACCCATCGATCGTGCTGTCGCCGACGTCGTCGCGACGACCGTGTACATCGGATGGTTTTTCGACGCGTGGATCGGTGCACACCGATGGGAGTCCCCCTGGCATCTTGGTCGTCATCTTCCGCTTCATCGCGGCGCTTGGTCTCGTGAGCGTCATCTTTGCCGCTGTAGAATCTACGAGCAGATGCGCCAATCGCGGCTCCAGATCGTCGACAATCTGGTCGACAACGTTGCGCGCAATTCCCATGACACCTTCGAGCATCTCATCCAGAACGTTGACCCTCGGTGGCCTCGCGTGCGCGTCGCCCTTGTGGAGCGTCGTCATCGTCTTCCCCAACAACTTCGCCACCGTGTCAGTGAACTCGTCGCGGAGTGTACGGGCCTCGTCTTCGTTAGAAATCGGTAATTTCCAAATTTCTCCACTCGTGTAGAGCTTGTTCACGCGCGATCTCGTCGCCGATGCCGTCTTATCGGGTCGCCCGAAATACAGAAACCCATCGCTCGTCGGATACGAATTCGCGAGATCGTGGAATTCCCGGACGAGTCTGTCGCGGCGGTTTTCGAAGCAGCGCCTCGCCAGCGCGTACTCCTTTCCGCTGACGGAGGTCCCGTCCTCGTGAAAGAACGGACGAGGGCGTTTACGCCGTCCTTTTCCCTCCGTCGTCGTGGAAAACGAAACGACGCGCGCGGTCGATCGCTCGCGATCGCTCGCCGCCGCCGCATCTTTCTCCGTCGTCGCGCGCGCACCGCCCTCGGTCGTCTCGGGCGATGTCGTTCCCTCGGATCCATCGGCTCGCGTTCGCATCGTCCCCCGACGCCGCGTCGCCGCGCCGTCGCGCGTCGCCGCCGACGCGAGTGGTGACTGGGCGAGCGAATCACGACAACGTTTTGCACGAAGAATGTGCGCGCTCGGGTGATTTACTTTCATCACGTCCTACCAGGTTTGTGTTTACCCAAGATGGCTCGTTCGGTGGTATGACGAGTCATGCCTCGATGGGAGTCGCTCGTTCGGTGGTATGACGAGTCATGACTCGATGGGAGTCTCTCGTTCGGTGGCGACGGAATCCGGCGGCGGCCGCGCGCGGTGCCGTCGACGCACACCGCGACTTGGCGCGCGCGCGCGATCGGGCGACGCGCGGACGGGTCGTCGGGCGAGATGGCGACCGAGAGCGCGCTGGAGAGCTGGCGAAAGCGCGGCGTCGAGCGCGTGCGTCTGCGCCTGAGCACGGAGCGAGCGAAAAAGGCGCGCGGGAGCGAGAGCGCGAGCGAGAGCGAGGTGGACTCGGACGACGACGCCGGAGCGTACGATGGACCGTACGTTTTGAGATGTTTGGCGACGCAAGGCGCGAGGTTGGAGGAGAACGTGGATTTTCACGTGTGGCGACCGCGTCGGGGGCTGGACGCGGAGGAAATGCGAGCGAGACATAAGGACGTCGTCGGTGAGAGCGTCGCGCGCGGTGTGAAGCGCGAGGACATGTTCAGAGAGAATAATCTCATCGTTCGAGGACGAGGGGAGGGGGTGGATTACGTCGGGAAGAATTTTACGCACGATTTGACAGGTATCGGTAGGGCGTACGAGCGCGAATCTGGGAGCGACACGATGACGACGATGCTCGGTCGGTTGAGGAAGACGAGCGAGAGCGGGACGTACGATTTAGAACTCATACCAATCGCGGGGGGGAGGGTAATCGATATGGATGTGCGGTTGCACCAGCACAACTACACCAAGCACTCCAAGGCCGAGCTCGCGGACTTGAGCGATCCGGCGGTGCGGGCAGCGATCAATGCCAAGCAGCTGGAAGCGTTCGCATCGGATAAACGAAAGCGTTTAGTGAATAGAATGAACGCGGCGCGTAAGTTGGACGTATCTGCCATCGCATCACCGGTGCAGATGGAGATGCACATAGCAGATGGAGCGGCGAACGTGAAGACGCGGGCAGAGCTCGTGAGTGAGGCGGGCAAGACGCGGAACATTCCACCGCACGAAGCCACGGCTACGGAACCGAGTTTGGCGTACCCGATCGAATCCATGCCTTGTTACGAGCTCTTTCACAAGCTTCGCTCGAAGGATCTCCTCGCAGCTGTCGAGAGCGGCGATGTGGCGAGCGACGAAAAGTACGAGCCGCTCACCAAGGTTCTTGCTGCTCGTCTCGTCGGCGGATCCAAGGCCGAGCTCATCAAGCGAGCGCAGCTGGTGCTCTACGCCGATGCACTGTGCAAGATGCTCGGTCGCGACCGCATCAAGGAGGCGAGAGCGAAGGAACAGGAGGATGGGCAAAAACCTGTTGTGCCGCCGGAGCATCCGTTCTTGTTTACGAAGAGCGAGAATGTCGATCCATTACTTCAAGGGGCGCTCATTCGCAGCTTCATGGAGGAAGACATGTCAAGCGACGTACGTCAATTCATCATGGCGAAACACAGGAAGGATCTCGTCATTTTGAACGTGGTGCTCATTGCGCTCCGCGTGAACAACTGGAGCATCACATTTGAGGAAGTGCGCCCCCATTTGAAGCTAGACTCCAAGCAAATGACCGCATACGTGAGACAGCTCGGATGTAAATCGGTTCGTGGAGGGAAAGACCCGTTGTGGAATCTTGATCTCAAGGGTAGGGCGTTGGAGACGGTGTTACCCGAGATTCGAGCGCGAGCGAAGGCGCGAGCGAAAAAATCAACGTAGCCGTCAGAATATACGTGTTTTCAACAGAACACTGACTAGCGAATCCATCTCTACCTCTGATCACGTCTCTCTACGCGCGCGCCCCCATCACCTCGTCAGCCGTCGCCGCCGATCCTCGAGTGAGCAGCCTGTCAACTCGCCGTCCCCGTCGCAGTCCAATCGAGACCATCGCTGGCTTGTCTTTGCGCAATCAAACATCGGTTTCCCGAGCGACGTGTTCACCTCGTTGTGCACCTCGCACATCCACCGCTGTAATTCCAACCCACTCGTGCAATCCGGTGGGTTCTTCCGCACGATCTCCTCGAAGTGCCGAGCACACTCGCCGCACGGGTACAACCGCGTCATGATCCCAATGAGCTCCCGCGCGTCCCGCTCCTGCCTCCGCGTCGGCTCTTCCGGAAACTGCGCCGCGAGCGTGTGCAAAAACGTCCACGTCGCCCGCCCGAGGTCCTCCCGCGACGTCCTCCCGGTATCCGCTTTATCACTCGCGTTTCGCTTCGAGCTCGTTTTTGAATCTGTCACCTTGCCGCTCGTCTCCCCGCGTTGTCCGCGGTTCAAACGCGCGAACGCATCGCGTAAACCCGCAAGCGGGCCGGTGTGAACGGTATGACGTCGCTCGTTCGACGACATCGCCGTTGTAACGCGTCGACGACTGCGGGGGAGTCAAAACCAGGCACTTCACTCGTCGACGCTTTACATGGCGGACGTGCGCGCGCTGTGCGCTCGCGCGCGCGCCGACGCCGCGTCGGGCGATGGCGGGGCGACGTCGACGAGCGGCACGATCAGCGTGATCAGGGTGCGCACTTCACGCGAGGGCGAAACGACGCGAGATGACTTTTTGAGTTTGATTTTGATTTCAGTCCCCGAGCGCTCGACTGACTTCGAACGCACGCGCGCGGGCAGGAACGATGCGAGTCGTGCACGATCGATGGATTGTTAGCTTCGGGAGCGATTCATGCGATTTTCGATGCCGAACGCGGACTCACGGCGTACGTGCGGGAGACGGAGGGGAGAGCGGGCGGTGGGCCGTCCAAGGCGCGCGTGAAAGCGCTGGAGACGATGTATGAGTGCGCGTGGCGGTTAGGCGAGAGAGATGGGATCGGTGAGGGTCGGATTCGGGCAACCTGGGACGTGGTTTCGGGTACGGTGCGCAGGGAGGGCTCGAACGCGGTGAAGGCGGCGGGATTGAGGGTGATGTTGGCGCTCGCGCGTTGGAGCGCGCGCTATTTGGGCGCGGAGACGTTATGGGCGCACGGACGCGCTTTACGAAGAGATTTCGAGCGCACGACCAAGAATAGTAAGACAGTGAGAGGGTTGATACTGCGCGTCATCGGTGCCGCGCACGTCGGGATGAAATTGCAGGGTTTGACGCTCGACGTCTTAGGAGAGAAGGTCGCCGCCGAGGCGCCGACGGCAGAGTGGTTGCTCAAGGCATCGTGTCGCGTCTTGGATGCCGCACTTGACGACGAAGACACCTTGAAGAAAGAGATAATTCTCATTGCGAGCGCTCTAGACGCGTTGACGTCGGCGCTGACGGCGCACGGTCAGGAGAATGATCGGTTGAACAATGCTTGCGTCGTTCGCATCGTCACGCGCGCAGTGGCGTACCGCGTGGCAGGACAGCGTCACGACATGACTAGATCGGCGCTGGAACTGATTTCAGAGCATGTCAGAACGTTGAGGCATGAGTTCGTGAAGGTAGCTCCTGAGGTTTTCCAGATTCTCCTGAATCTTCGAGTGTCCAAAACCAGCGATGTCGCTCGGTTAGCCGGGGAGGCGTACGAAAAGTTTGTGCTCGCCATGAGTGATGCGTTTGATTCCGACGCGTCTCCTTCGCGAGAAGCGCGAACCAAGCTGCTCGAGAAGATTATGGAATCCATAATTCACATTTTAGACGACGATTCGGCATCGCATCGAGATAGGACAGCTTGCATTCGCGCTTTGGGCAAGTTTGCCGTTCCTGCGCTAGAGCTTGGCGTGCGTGGTGCTGATATGAATGCATACTTGGGACGCTTGGAGAGGCTCTCAATGTACACAACATTTAGACAAGGACACAATGAATTTCAAGGGCGTTTCGAGAGCATAGAGAGACAAGTGAGCTTACTCTCAGCTTACAGCGATTTGTTGCGCAAACGAGAAATTATGGTTGATGAAGCTCTGATCGTTACTGTTGGTGATTTAGTAGAATGGTTGTGGGAGCACTACGCTTTCGAGCACTCTCGACGTAAACCGTTGATTCAAAACGCTCTCTGGAATTTGTTCGTTGCCCTCTCTTCCAAAGGTTGCGCATTGCAAACCTTGTTGACTCGCATAGGTGCAAAATTGTTGGGATTGACACTTAGAGTGTCGCCCCCAGATCCAGTGGACAAGGCTCTCTACAGGGCATCACCAGTGCCAATGTGGCCTCGCTACGTCGAGCTTTGGACGACTTTGTTGGGTCGCGTTGACGATACCGTGTCGCGCTATTCTGAGTTGAGTGATCGGGACATACAGATAGCCACTGCCGCAGTGTACGGAAGCTTTGTCAGCGAGCTTCTAAACTTTTGCATCACACTCAATTTAGGCATCGTCACGTCCACGGGACTGAGTACATCGCTACAGCAAGATGATGAAGTTGATGCCGTAGCGGTGGCGGTGAGCCTTGGTGACGAGGCGAATGCCTCTAATCCTGGAGATATGCAAACATTTTTACAACTAGTAGAGTTTTCGCAACGAGTCATTGACGAATCACCTCCAGATTCGCTGCTACCTTGGGTGGACCACTTGAGCGACGAGTTGATGCGCATGGCGAATCAAAATAGTTCGTTGTCTGGATTTTACAAGCTTATTGGAGCAATAGTCAGTGCGGCGAATCGAGGCGGGTACTTTAGTAACTTGAAGTCGGCGGAATCCGAACGAGTTCTCTCACTCTTCCAATCCTTCTTACGTGACGTTTTACAAGACACAAGGCGATTCTCGGGAGAGCTCTTAGCCGCTGTGCTACGGCTTTTGTTATCACTCCCTTCGGTTATTCTTCCGATGGCTGACCTTATCAGTCCTTTGTTGCGAGCTCTCGAACTTGGATTGCAATACCCGGGTATGCCCATCACTGGCGTTGCACTCGACACTCTCGAGCGCTGGATCGACGGTAAACACGTGGCAAAGGTTTCCCAATACCTTCCACAAATAGCCAAACGCCTTTGCGCGTACTTGGATAGCGCGGCAAAGTCCGATTCTCTGTTCTCAAGTAATGAAACTGAGGATGAGAAACGATCGATTGTCATTTGGGGAGGCGGGAAGAAGAGGAAACAGCTGGCCGGAAAAACCGAGGAGCAAGAAGATGTCGTACTAAAACGAGCGACACTCATTCGAATCACAAAGATTATCGGAGCGATGGGCGGCGCCGGGCACGGACTTCTCGAAGACATGAAGCCGAGCAAGCTTGACTTACCTTGGGATCGCAACTGCAAGCTGCCAACTCCGATTGGACTCGTCAGATCGTCAACGAATCTATGGTTGGATAGTTTGCTCCCGCGTGCTTCACACTTGGCGCTTTTCTCTCAGGATCGTCCGACGAAGGTTCACGCGTGCGAGGCCCTTTACGGATTCTCAGTCTTTTTGATTGGTAAAAGTGCGCACGCTCCATCTCATGAGTCCGGAGACTTTACTCGCACTGAATCTCAATATCGTCCAATTTTCGAAAAACTTTTCCCGATCATATTCGAATTGGCCGTCGATACCGAACCAGTTGCTCGACAATTGTTCAACTCTCTATCATTCCAGATAGTTCGATGGTACGCCAAAAATCAGGCTCGAGAATTGGACGTTACGCTATGCCTGTTTGACGCAGTTCTCACTGGATTGTCAAACTCATCGAAAGCTGGCGCTGTTCGCGATCTGTGCGCCTCACTCACTGCAGAGCTTCTTGATTGGAGCCTGCGTTACGTCCGAGACGACAAAACGTTCGAAGGTTCCGTGAATCACCGGTTCATACTTCGCGCGCTGTTCGGATTAATTGGACACAGTAGTGCAGAACACAGGTTGGGCGCTGTCACAGCAATTAGAAGATGTCTCAAGCACATCGCGAAGAATCAGTTTCTGATAGATGAATACGTTTTGAAGATGCTTGATGTGACTTTGAAAAGCATGTCGCGTTCTGATGAGCATGCAGCTGGGTCATCCATGCGAGGCGCCGACGTTGCTATGGCAGTCTTGATTCAAGAGATTTTACACATCATCCAGGCTAACGCTAATCGATTACTTTCTTCGCCTGGATCAAAGGCTACGGAGTCCGTCGAACTGTTCCTGCAGCGTACACTCGAGCTCACAATGAGTTCGGATGAGTTTACACGGCGAGAAGCACAGAAAGTTTTTGATGTCATCGCACCGATTTCGGTTTCAGACACATCTGAGTGGTTTCAAGCGCGTTCGCACTTAGTTTCGTCTTCTATCGATGCGTTGGTTCCAGAGATGAGTGCCGTAGAATACAGCGAACGAGCGACGATTCAATTCATTGCGGTCATTCAATGGTCAAATTGGATGATCCGCATGAGGCATGCCGGTGGAGAATTTTTCCCTGCCACTAGAACGATGCACTTTCGTGCAGCTGGACTATTCATCGAGCGCACAGCGCAAAACGTTGAGATATCTAGGGAAAAGAACGCTGTGCAAAACCAACACCTGTACGTGACGCGCGAAATCTTCGCGCTGCTCGATACCATTTTAAAGTCTGCGCTTCGAGGGGCCGAGAAGGACGCTCTCCTCGCGCTCATCTTGGATCAAGATAATGGTTATGTTAATGCGTGCAAAGTGATGTCAGCGGCTATATTCTTTCCGCAGAACCTTGGAAACGAGCAGGAGGCTTCGAAAAAATCGATCACTCGCGCAGCTATACAGCTATTGAAAACTATTTCTGTCGACAATGGATCATCCAAAGCGAAGCGCTTGTATGAGGATGCAGTCGCCAACCTTCAGCAAATGGTGTCAATCCCAAAGTTTAATCTCAGTGAGGTCGACTTAAGCTCCACGCAGGGTTGCATCGCGGCACAACGTCTCGTAGATGGTTACACTGGATTGGCCTCTGTCTCCATGCTCCGTCGTGTGCTGATGCGAGAGGGCAATACGAGCGCAAAAGTTCTCGCCGAAGTTGCTCTGTCGCGCGTGTGCGGGTTGGGTCATCATGCAAATCCACCTCAAAGAGTCGTCGGACAGGCCATCGTGAAGCTATGTTTGCATTTAAACATCGCCCCAAACGTACTCTTGGATTTCCTGTTGGATAGGCGAGGTCCAAATTCTGGCAAACAACTGGGTGAAGCGCTCTATCGTAACTATCGAGAATCGTTCATTCGCACGTGCGAATTCCAATTTGACGATTACGCAACTGATCTGCTGATAACAACCAGCGCGGATGTGACATCGGCAGGTGGTAGAGTTGCGACCGACATAATTTTGGGCGTTGTGGATCGCGCTACGTCTACGCTTCAATGTGGAGGTCGAATGAGCCTAAATGGCGTGGGAATACGCAACGCGATCGAAAAGAATATTTCACACTTGCGTCATCTATACGAGGACCATGATAGTGCGACCGCGGAGATGAGGAATACGTGTCATCAACGGTTTTTGACCATTATTCGTAAAGTGATGACGTTAGATGCGAACCTTAGAATTGACGAATCGATCGCTTCAAACGACACAATCGTGTCAGGTCTCATGCGGTGTGTACGAAACGACTGCATTGCTCTCAGCTCACACGTCGACGCAATCACGATCACTTGTGACGTGCTGCAGGATCATCGTGTTTTGCGCGCACAAAAGGACGCGCTAGAAAAGAGTCTCGGCGACTCGCTGAAAAATATGATGGTTCAAGAGAGATGTGATGCGTTCACCTTCCAGAGGCGATTTCCATCGACTATCAACGCTTTCAAGCAGGCTTTCGCAATGTGCCGGTCCTTTCGTCTTATCTCTGCTCTAGTACCATTCTATGACAAGTGGCTTGAGCCGTGCGTGAAAGGTGCCGTGACGAGCTGGAATGGGGCATTGGCACAGAGTATTTGGCTCATCGTTGCGGATGTGTATGCCGATTTCAGGACACAAAGTCTCGCTGCAAGCACTATCTTGCCAACACTCCTCGAGGCGGCGAATGCCCAAGAGATCGTTGAATTTTTCATGGAAAACCACGAAACGATCATGAAAGACGTGGGCGGCGCAAATGGACTGCTCTGTACATTGCGCTCTCTTAACGTTCTACTCTCTGTGTACCAGAAATGCGATAAGCAGCAACTCATAGACGGTCCGCGCTCGAAGGTCCCGAAATTAAACGCACTGGTTTCGAAATCGCTCATGTTTGAACTCAGTGGCCTAGGCGTCGCTGGAAAAGCTCAATGTGGCCAGGAAAATATCGCTCTACGTGTGTATCATCTCGCATTTTTAGTTTTTTCGTGCTTGCTCGCTAAGACGCAAACTCACGTAAAGTTTTACCTAAAGCTATTTGAGAGCACAAAGTCATGGAACAATCTCGTGGATCGTACTAAGCGGATAGAACTTGAAGCCGAGGCAATAAACGAGGAACCTGACTCAGCGGAAGACATATCACTCAAATCTCCAACCAGGGATGTTTCGTTCACGCTTTCGTCCACTCTGGCTGCCATGTACTCAACGTTGAAGACCGAAAGTTGCGTCACAAGCGATGTCATTGACGACGAATGGGGAAAAGAGACAGAAATTCCAGCGAAAGGTCAACCTCGAGACGTTCTAGAGGCACATCCTGTGTCGGATGGAGTTTTCAGAATACTGGAGCTTGTTACAAAGGAGGGCTTGACAGGCGGCAATTCGGAAGAGCTACCCCCATCAATTCAACTTCTTGAAGCGATCTCAAGTCTACTATACACGCCGACGATCTTACCAGCGGTAAAACTCTTCGTTGTTAAAGCCTTGCTCAGGCTTAACCACGAACTTGCTTCCGATTCAGACTCGGACATCAGCATGCACTCCGTGTGCACATCTCCGTCGTTGCTAGCAGCGAATCCAGATGTGATGCTTTCGTTATTGACCGCAACAATCGAGCTCGTTAAAGAGTCTGGAGTCGATAATGTGTCTACGCCGCTGAGAGAGACTCTTGACGTCGCCCTGGAGTGTAAAGATCTGTGGAACTCGAAGTTTGATGAAGCAAAACCCTGCTTGTTGGATGCGATAGAGATCGTTCTGAAGTGCGGGCACTCAAAGTACGTGGGTGTCATGAAGGCGAACCTCGCGCTTCTCACGCGAATGTTCGCTCGTTTGCGTGATGCAGTGCTTTCTATCGGTACACCACCCGCACACTGTTTTCAGAACGCCTTTCACCGCGCGAATGAGATTCTTGAGCTCGTCCCAAAATCCAAATCACAGGAAGAAAAAAGGTTTGTCACTCAAAAGAAACTGTTCGTCATGCAATTGATTGCCACCTTGATTCATGAGGAAACAAAAGTAATTCAAGTCGATGATGAGTTTGTTTTCATAACGAACTCACGGGGGGAGCAAATCGGCGACGGAATTCGTTCACCGCTGATTCAGGCCGTGATGTCATGTTTGATGAGCTCGACTGAATCGACAGGTGGTTTGTTGAATTCAGTAGCGTCCGCATTGCTAGGGAAAATAATGGAAATTGATGGCAATCATCCCAGGAGATGGCATGATTACTTGCGCAAACGATGCCAATCGCTTTATGACGCGCAGGCATGGGATCCTTTCCTGGACACACTGGATAGAGTCACGAAACGTTGTCCTAATTTTCCGCATGATACTGGTCTCGCCCCGCTTGTTCACTCTGTGATTGACAAGGTCTATGGAGAGAAAAAGTGTCTGGCTTTGATGATTGTGACGCGTTCCGAAGATGAAGAAGTCGTACGATCGACGTATGAGCGATTGCTTCCGTTTGTTACGCACCTAGTGAGGCAGAAAGATGAGCAACTGCTGGAAGTCCTCTTTGCCGCTCTCACCCGTGGCGTCAAGGTGGCGACTATCGAGAGCTCACATTTGAAGCAGTGGCATTCCGCTCTCATCGAAGCAGACAGCGCAGTGGATACAGAAAGCGTCGTCAACGTTCGTGAAGCGCACACTAAAATGTGCATAGCCGTCGCTGAAGCTTTCCCTGAACTCGTAAATGAAGCATCTCTCCGAGGGCCGCTTCTTCAAGCGCTCGCTGATCCAGTGAGTACTACTTGCCGTGATTCAGCGTTGGCTTTCTGGAACACGCGCTTACAGTACGACAGCCTTTTCGCGCGCCTTCAAGACGTCCTTAACTTGATCCCGAACAAAAAGGTGGAGAGCTTGTGGCTTGCTGCAGCTTGCAGACTTATGTTTGCCGTGCAACAGATGAACTTGGCGTCAGGAGCGTCGTTGATTGATAGTGATCTATCGGATTGTGTGTTCACGTTGGTTAAAGTAGACACCTTACGCAGACGCGGTGCATCTCAAACCATGAACCCGCTGTTCTCATCAGAGTCCACGCAGCTGCAAAAAGAGGGCGTTGACGCATTGAAGCAAAGTGTTCTGCTGGCGCATTCACAGCAGTTAGATGCAGATCCGCTCTTCGCCGCTACACTTTCCTACAAGCCGGTCAAAAGGCTACCAAAGTCGGCATACCGTGCAAAAGATGTCTCTTCAACGCTGCATAAAACTAGTTTCAGCGCCGTTATACCGAAGTTCCAAGATGCCCAGGATGTGCAGAAGACGTTAGGCGACGTACTCCTCGACATCGATGGGTTAAAGCAAGATATCAAATTAACTCGTTCTTACAGAACCGGAGAGCTGCCAGATGTCAAAATCTCGCGTAATGAACTGATATTACCGTTTTTGGTCACCGCAGAACGCGACTCAGTGCTTGCCTGTGCGCTCCTAAGAGAGTTTTCGAGTGTAGCTATGGAAGAGTTTGAGTTCATTTCGAAGAATCAACACGGCGGTGACTTACACGCTGATCATAAAGGTGGTGATTTACGCACTGATAAAAAAAACGTGGGAGGAATCGCGCGCGCACTCAAAGGATTCATTTCAAAAATAGAAGGAGGCGACGCTTCGGTAGTCCGTTTCGCTCTTTCTCTGTGCGAATTCATACCGAAAGCGACGGACATACCCATAAGTGACATTGTCCGACTTGCGAGACGCGGTGAAAGTCTAGCGTCGGGTGTTGTTGCGCTGGAGTCAATCCTGATCTCTTCGGAGAAAGACGGGTCTTCAGAAACTTGGGAGGCTTTGGCGACGTTGTGCAAATCGATTGGTCATGATGATAATGCTTTACTCTCCTTCGTGAATGCGTTCCCGAACCAAAGTGACACGATGGTTGCGATTCGAGAGGAAATGACTGGAAATCTACAAAATTCAGCGAACATCTACAAAAATCTGTTACATAATGTCGACGATGATCAGTCTCCGCGAGAGCGTGAATTTTGGACGCATGAATACTTTCGATGTGCGGAACGACTAGGAGATTGGGACGAGATCGGGGAAATGCTTGCGGATGTTCGCTCGGGAAATTTTGAAGCAGATATTGCCGTCGCCGACTGTGGAATTGCTGGTGAGGCTTCTGGTGGAAGCCGTTTTTCCACAGCGTTTCGTGTCGCGATTCGGCAGCCCTTGGTTGATTGGTCGGCTTTCTTCGCAAACATCTTTGCGAACGGCGAAAGCGCTCTTCGGTGGCACAGAAGCGTAGGCGTGGAACTATCTCTGCACGAGCTCACGAATAACAGACGAGAGCAAGCTCGTAATGCTTTGGAGCACGTTTTCGAAGGATTCCTCGAAGCTTGGAGTGCGACTTGTGCCTCTTCGATCGCGATCCGACGAAAAATTCTACAGGCTCTGCAACCAGCTGTCGAAATAAGCGAGACTCTGAGGGCGATGGAGGAGATAAACGATATTCTTTGCCTCTCGTCGACGGGCTCAAACATCGATCGAGCAAACACCATCGTGAGCGATCTCGACAGTATCTGGCGAAGTCGATGGCCATCGGCCGTCCATGATCCCTCGGAAGCTTGGGAACGCGTGGTAACATTTCGGTCACGTATGATGAGCACTATCGTAGGCGTAATTCCTGAAATTGAGACAACGTCGATAGAGGCGTTGCGAACAGGTATGTGGTTATGTGCCTCAGATGGTCTTCGTCAAGTTGGTCAGGTGGCTTTATCTCGCAAATTTTTACGGCAGTATATCGAAAGTGTGCAGCGAACTGAAGCATCGGAAAGTTGGAAACTTTACGAAGCGCTATTCAATCTCAAGCTCGCCACAGGCACAAGCAACAGCATCGAGAAGGCGTTAGAGATGTGTCGCAATCAGTTGCACGAGGAGAAGTGGCAAGGAGACGACCATATTAACTGCTCTCTCCTCGAAGCACGTATGTGTGAGCATTTGGCAAGCGCTGGAGGTGACGATTCCATCACGTATGGAATCGCTGCTATCGAAAATTTCACGGCTATTGCTGAGACTAGCAAGAACGTCGAGCATGCAGTGGACGCTTCACTACGACTCGCTCACTTTTGCGATGCAGCCCTGAAAAAGTTGCACGGAGACTATGCACAGGCGTCAATCTCGTCAAACTGCGCGGAAGCGCTCGAAGTTTGGCTAGCTGAAAATCATTCAAGTCTATCCCAAGTTTTCATTAGACATACTCTTAAGTCGCTGGAAATGTACGGAACACAGCAATCGTTGCCCGCGAGGCATCTTCTGCCGCGACTGCTCGTCTTACTCAGAGATCATATGTCTCCGCAGACCGCACAAGAGTACAGTCAAACACTCTTGCGTGTTCCCTCTTGGCTCTTTTTGGATTGGATTCCACAGCTCTTATCGATGGTATCTGATACTCAGCTCCACGCCGTGACCTCGCCACTGACGCGAAGACTACTTTCAAAGTACCCAGCCGCAGTCCGGCCACACTTCAATCTCATGAAAGAAACGATAAATAGAGACATTAGTGAGCGTATCAGCTTTGCGCTCGCATCGTCTTTGCACGACGGATTCACTCGTGCGATCGAGCTTTTGCACTTCCCAGCAAATCGCCTCAGTTTTTGGCGCCAGCAACTATACCTTCGGGAATGTCAGCACGACAAGTACTCTTGCAACGATCTCATCGAAGTAATGTTGCTAGATCTTGCGGTGGTTGATGACCCTCTTCTCGGTCCGATCAACAAGCGTTTCGTTGAAATCGCATCACCAATTCTAAACAGTGTCGTCAAGTCTGCGCTGAAGGAGAAGATGAGCGTGAGCGAAACGCTGAAGAAAGTTGAAGTCCAGGTTCTTGATGAGTGGCGGAAAGAATTCCATGGCATTGAAAACTCCGCACGACTCCGCTTGAGCGACTTTTCTTCGTGGTTTGAACTGATGCACTCGAGCTCTGAGCAAGTCCTAGAGGTTCCCGGTCAATACGATAATATCATTGCGCCACCGGATGCGAGCAAACATGTCACGGTGATGGGATTCGCGCCGGACGTCCAAATCTTCGCGTCGAAACAGCGACCAAAAAAGATCATAATGCGAGGGAGTGATGGGCAAGACTACGCGTTCATCGCGAAAGGTGGTGAAGATCTGCGTCAAGATGAGCGCATTCAGCAACTGTTTAGAGCGATGAATGGAATGCTTGCATCCTTCACAGAGTCGAGAGGCAGACGTATGGAGGTTCGAACTTTTCACGTCGCTCCACTGACCCCTCGCACTGGTTTGATCGAGTTCTTGAGCAATACATCGCCACTACTTAGACTGTTGAGTAAGCCAGTCACGGGCATGGATATTGATCCATTCAAGGAGCATCAACGATGGATCAGGGAGCATGCGCGTGGAATCGGAAAGAGAAAGCGCGACATCGCCCAAGGCGAGATGACAACAACGCACGAAGATTATCTCGCCGCTATCAATAAAGCTTCGTGCAAGGAATCAGAAACGATTTTATCCCGCTTGAGGTCTTCATCGCATTCTAACAATGCCTTGAGAAACATTCTGCTTGAGTGTGCAGGAAATGCAGAGGCCTTCTTGATGATGCGTCAAGCGTTTGCGGCATCCTTGTCCTCTTCAAGTATTTGTGGATACGTTGCTGGAGTTGGAGACAGGCATTTAGACAACATTCTACTCGATCTTTCAACAGGGCAGCTGGTTCATATAGATTTTGGATATGCATTTGGCACGGCGACTTCCGCACTGCCAATTCCAGAACTTGTACCGTTCAGAGCCACGCCGGCACTCCTCGATGTGCTCGCACCAATGAGTGCTCGTACGTGGCTCGAGACCGACATGGCAAGGACGGTCAAGGCTTTACAGAACGGTTCGACGCTGCTCAAGGGCGTCATGGACATATTTCTGCGTGAGCCGCTCATCGATTGGGAGCGCGAAGCTCTCGTCGCCAGTAGATCATCCAAATCCTCACACATTCAAAGCAGGATCACGCACGCGTGGGGAAAGTTAGAGCTCGATAATCCCGCAAAATTAGTCCTCGAACAATGCGCATCGAGACACCAAGATCGTTCCTACTGGACCAACATGTGCGAAGCGCTCGTTGGTTCAAACGCCGAGCCGACGTCCAAGTGCGCTACCGTCGAGGAGCAAGTTCGAGCGTTAATAGACTTAGCGACGAACCCAGAGCTCCTTGCCGTCGCCTGGAGCGGCTGGAGACCCTGGTTGTAATAGTAGTCTCGAAGACTCCGTGTGCGTCGTCGTTGGTTTCGCGCGTTTCCCAATTTTGAAAGTTGGCACCAGACGCCACCTCACAACCACCCACGGTGCGGGCGCGTGCGTACGAGTTCGTATCGATGCCTCGAGCGCGTTGAACGCGTCGCCTAGAACGCTTAAACCGAGCCCACCGACCGGCGCGAGCGCCAGAGCGACGAACGCGCGCGACGATCGCGTCGGTCGAGACGTGAGCGAACTCGAACGCGCGCGCAATATGTTCGACGTGAGCGCGCTGCACGACGCACTGCGGAGCGAGAAACTCCGTAAGCGAAGGGTGCGTGCGCGCCGACAGCGTGAGCGATGCGACTTGCGACGCGAGACGCGGGCGGGGACTCGATCGATGACTGACTGTCAGTAATCCGACGCACGCGCACAGGAGGGCATTAAGGATGTGTTATTGAGCCTACAGTCGAGCGATTTCGTTAGATATCTGGACGTGGGGACGAAGGAATATGATTCCACGGGGAGTGGTGACGTGAAGTCTACTTGGGCGGGTCTGATTAGTTCGGTAATGGTTTGCGTGACGAGCGAGTTGGAGGACGACAAACACACGACAGATAAGAACACTTTCTCGCTTCTCAGGACGTGCGTAGCCGCGGCTGAAGGTCGGAAACGGACGAATGGTATATCGGTTCCGCTGCTGAGACGCGCTGGAAAGATGTTCGCACACGTTTTAATCGTGTTGCAATCGGGCGACGCAAACTTCGTCGTCGACTACGTACACATCCTACGGAACAATCTTTTAAATGTGCCGGAGTACTGCTCGCGAGCGAAACAGAGCGTGTTCGAAGAATTGATAAAACTTTTTGCGTCCAAGTCCACTTCGAGCTCGAGTGAAGCGATGAACGGGGAGAAGAAGGAGGAGTTGTATCGAGGCGCGGCGGCTTTCTATTTGCTGCTGCGCAACTGCCCCTATGATTTATCTGTGCAAACGGTTAATGGTTTGATGGAGACATTCAAAGATACGTTTCATAATCTTCGCGAAGACGGCCGCACGGCCGCAATGCTTGTTTCTGCCATGAATAAGTTTTTGCTTAAGACAGGTTTGGACGTGAGCTCGCGAATGGCTGCACTTCACGATAGCGTCTACCCGTACTTGGCGTGGGCACTCAAAGGGAATGTGAGAGACAGGCGCTTGAAGGAAGAGTTGATAAAATATTGCTACGTGCAAAATCGTTTAGACGTATTAGGTCACGAGAGTGTTGAAAATCTCGTGGAAGTGCTCGAGAAACAGATAGATGACATAGGTTCAGATCGATCCGTCGGCGGCAATAATTCTGACAGATTTGATGTGAAATTGTCGCAGAAGCTCCTGTTTGAGCTTTACTGCGACGTGCTGGTATTTTCTGAAAGAACGACGTCAACGGTTAGCTCTGACATGAATCAAATAACGCGAAGCGCCAAGCGCGCACGAGGTGATGGTAAGCACGTGGAGCGGATCGTTTCCAAGATTTTATCCGACGGCGGCTATTGGGGCGCTGTCTTTTGCGTGCTGTTGAAACGACATGGCGGTTCATTGGCAAAACCAGAGCTGGATGATTGCGCAAATCGATTGGTGATTGCCTTGAGTGATTCATTCTCGCAAGGAAGCATGTCAGACATGAAAGTTCTCGCTCACTCACTGTGGTTGATCCGGTGTTTGCAGGAAATTGCTGGTGGTACGCGCAATAATGCGTCGCCGGTTTGGACGAAGGTGACCAATTGTTTAGTGTACTGGCTCCCGGCACATCTAGCCGAAGCTCGTCTGACGAATGAATCTCTATTGCTGTTCGCGACGATGGTCAGTAGCGAACTCATTCATCCATCGTTGCTGCGTCAAAAATTCTGGCAACTCAGCGTCTTTGATTTCGCTGAAGTTCCAACACTGGCAACCCTTGAGCTCGTTAGCGCGGTGTCGTCCCTTGGACTAAGTGAGCATGTCGTGGCTGGGCGTTCGTATGACGAATACTTTCTATGGCTTCTCCGTGGTTTGTCACAAAAGACGGATGAACGTTTTTCATTTTACAGTCGTCGTGCAAACGCGTCAACAACTTCGGACGTCGCCTTAGACCGTGTACTCTCAGCCATTCAGAATTCATTCGTCGCGGCTTCTCATAGAGCCTGGATAGACAAAGAAGATAGAAGTTGGTTAGAGTCACCAGACGACGATCACGTGAGCTTTATGCGAGACGTGGAGAACCTTCGTCTCGTATCAAAACCTTTCGCCAAGTTTGGGTTCAATCCGAAACGCGCTGATGACGTGACTACAGTCAACAGCAGTTCAAAAGAGGTGAGTATGGACCCGGAAATCCGTATTACCGGTGCACAAATGTTAGAGAAAGCTATAGGCGCCGCGCGGAATCCTACAGATGCGGTTCGTGTATGCACAGTAGCGTTAGGAGCAATCACATCGTTAGCACCGATAAATCGGAGAACAGAATCCATGCAAAGTTTAGACCAGGGTGGTAACGCATCACTCATGAAGACGATTTTTGCGACGATACCACGTGCTTTACGGATTGGATTGCACTTAGATACGATACTTAGCTCGAAAACAACCGTGTTGGATGCAATTCCTACTTTGGTGTCGACTCTTCGGCAGGTGCAACACGCTGGGTGCAAGAGCGAAGCCTTGGAAGATCTGTGTCGAAATGTTGTCGAAATCCTGTATGACATCGCTCGGGAGTTACTGCAAAACATAGATCACGGATTGACGGTGGGCAGCAACAGTGTCATGACCAGTGCTCGTCACTCACAAGAGGAAACATTTTTTGATGACGACTTGGACTTTCAAATGGTTGATTCAGAGGCGCAACGCTCAAACACATCTCAGATGGCTACTACGTCGACGACGATAATGCCTGAAAATGACGGAAATGTGGCGTGTAGCGAGCGATATGTGAAGCAAATCATGAAGTGTCTTGAGTCAATGACGTCGGTGATACCAGAATCAGTAGCTACATTGACTGCGTTGCTATTGCGCTACGCCGTGCCACCGGAGGGCGCACCGCCTCGTGGACCATGCGGCATCGGTGTGTCGCAAGATATAGCTGAAGTTGCGATATCATTAGTGCAATCGTCGCGTTCGGCGAGTCTGGTTGGTGTCGTGCTACCAGTTCTTCAAGCGGTTGCGAGAGGGCAGGTGAATCTAGATGAAAACGCAGGACTGATGTCATCGGCTCGAGAGTGGCTATTGAATCAAACAACAATATTGACATACGGGCTTTGCGAGTTGACTTCCTCGAATTCCAACTGTGAAATGCCACCTATACCTGAAAATACTCATGGCGTGCTGGCGGATCTCGTCACTCGAGCAGCTGGCGTAGTAGATGGTGAAATTCCTGCAGCTCTGAGAAATTGCGGTGTTCGCGCAAAACTGGCTGATTGCATCTTGTCCCTCTTCACGTATGAAATGGACTACTTTCAACCGCGTTTTGGAGGTTGCCTAGCCTGGCTTTTAGGAGATGATAGTTATTTGGTGCGCATACACGCCGGTTACGCGATGGCTTCAGCTATTGGTTTCTTCCTTGAGGCGGACCACACGAGCATATTTCAAAACACGGTTGTTCCCGGATTAGCCATCAAGTGCCAGTTTCTGCCATCAGGTGGTTTGGATATAGCTACGGACGACATCGATGATACAGAACGTGAGTGGTCAAGCCTTCACATAATATCTGCCGTCGGGATCATCTCATCAGTGCTCGAACCATGGTGCGCCTTCATGATAATTCATCATCGCGCGCGACACGGCAGTCGGTTGCAGATACCGGCCATGAACGCGATAATTCATTTAGCAGAATCTACTGGGCATCCATCGGTCGCCTCATTCGTACAGTTTCACAACCGCACTATAGGAAGGCTCTGGATCGATTCAGGAGCTTCTGTATCTCTACTATTTGAAGTCCCTGAAGTGCTCGGTCTTCCGCCTGGCACTGATGCGAAAACGGTTGCAGCGCAACTGAAGAGATCTTTGCTTCCGGCTTTGATTTACGATAAGGATCGAGATGGACTGAACACGCTCGCAGCTATGAGTGATAGTGGTACCATTCAACAGATGATCAAGTTAAACTGGGACGTCGTTCAAGCGCGTTTGTACGCACTGGTGGCGAAAGATTGTCCGGATCCAAAGGCGATAGCTGCGCAGACATATGTGGAATCTTTGATGAAAAAGTCCATACGAGGATGGAAGCCTAACGACAGCTCTAATCAATTACAAATTCTGGTCGAGCTTCTGCATTTAGCGAGAGATCCTGTCGAGAGCGCGAAGCTGTTTGATGTATCACCTCCGTACAGACGAGCGACCGACATCATACATGTCATCGAGCGATTCATGAATGAACAAGATTCTACCATCACTTGGACTTTTGACGTTATTTTTCAGTGCATGCTATCTATTCACGAAGCGATCGATATGGCCACGTCATCGAGGCACAAGCTGAAAGTCTTGGCGTCGTTGAAAGTCTTGTTGTCCTGCATTGGTGAAGAAAATGTGAGAATCCCGTCTCTCTTCAGATATGTCTATTTCATGCTCATACCAAATTTGAATGATAACACGATCGGCACGCAGTGCATTCAGATTTTGGCGAAACAGACTCTGAGTGCTTACGACGAATTAAATCGCCTCAATGAAGATCAAAGCGAGCTTTCGTTCACTATGGAGAACTTCATCGTCCCATTGATGTTTGTATTGAGTTCCGTCGTTGAATCGGATGCAAGTTCAGTTGATCAGCGCACTGAGGCGCAGAATTTCCTGCGGATCATCGTCACGAAGCCACCAAAGTCGATCTACCGCGTGCTAGGAGTGTTACCGCCGTTGCCCGACTTGCCCATGCTCAAGGATGTGAGAGATATTTTGCTAAATGTTGACAAGCCAAGCCACGCAGAGCGATTGTCATATCTCGTGGAGAAAGCACCAACCTTGCCCAAAGCGCTGCAACGCGTGGCGTTGCGAGCTGGCGGTCTTGAGGCACTGATGCACAAGAAATATCTGTTAAAGATGAGTGATGAAGAAGATTTTTCACCATACAAATGGTCTTGTACGATTTCTGAGCACGTGTGGAAATTTGCAGAACTTGTGGCCCCGTTGGCGGATGCAGAGCTCTTCTCAATCGCAGCCGAGCTAGTGTCTTCTCTCGGTCCACTTAGGCCGCAAGTGCTGGCTTTCATACCACCGGAGCAAAAATTACCGTTGGGCGGGAAAGATTTTGTTGTTGGTATGACACAATTGGAAATGTTTGTGGTAAAGAATTTGAAATACTTGAGTAGCCTTCTGTGCTCACCAAAGAGCTCGACCGTGCGCTCTGCTGCGGCAACAATTCAAGGTTTGTTTACGATAAAAAAAGTCTGCGCTACGCATCAGAAGATACCCGAAACGGAAAGGTTTTATCTTGCGCCTTTCGCCACGGAAGCACTTACGGTCCCTGCGGTTGAATCTGTTTGTGTGAAGAGCATGGTGAGCGACCTGTACGAACTCGATGACGAACGTCTCTGGACAATTAATGAGAACGGCTCAGACAAAGCGTACGAGAACTGGATTTGCGCTCTTGTACATAGGTTACTACCCGAGTGCAAAGCTGACCCGTTATTTCGCTTGCTGGAATCGTTGATGATCTCTGATTATGTTGTGGCAGAGCTCGCTCTCCCGCATATGCTTTTTGAGATCGCCGATGCGCGCCATGACTTATCAGTGAAAGGGAACAAAGACGTTCACGATGCTCTCAGTCGAGGATTCACAGGAACATTAAACCGTGCAAACACTTCGGAAGGTCGTCGAGCCGCCAAGTTCATATTGCGTACGTTCGAGTATTTACGCCGTAAGCGCACGACAGCATTCAGAGCGAAACGTCCTGATGAGCCTAGCGAACGGCGATCTCGAGCGCGAGATCCAGCCAAGTGGAAAAAAATTTTCTGGTTCGATATTGATTATCTTACCGTTGCACAGGCGGCAATTCACACTGAAGCACCCCTTACGGCCATAATGTTTGTCGAGTATTGGCTGGAAGAGAAGGGTGACAGTGTCTCTCTGAACGTGGGCGATTCACATGGACAGATGTCTGACTCTGTGCCGGAGCATCTTTCGCTATTACTTAAAGCTCAATCGAAACTTTCTGAACCTGATGGTCTGTACGGTTTGTTGTGTTCGAATTCACTCGAGTTGCAACTACGATTAAGCGAACACGAAGGGCATTGGGACAGAGCCCTTGCGGGATATGACTTGCTGCGCAGCAGTGGAGAAAACATCGGTACACACGACGGTCAGCATAGCGTGCCTATGATGAGATCCCTTCGAGAGCTCGGCTGCTCACACCTGCTCCGTGCGTACTCGAAGGCACTGTCCGATGACGAGTTGGCGGCTCCAGAGATGAAAGAGTTGCAGTATGAGGCAGCGTGGCGAGCTGGAATATGGACGTTGCCGACGGGGATCACTCGAACGCAACATTCAACCACATCAGAGTTCAATCAGAGTTTGCACGCTGCGTTGCGCGCACTCGATCGTAATGACACGGCCTGCGCAATCTATGAGACGAATAGGTCGCGCGCTCACATTCTGGAAAAAGCGATCAGTGAGCAGGCAGAATCGGCAGATGCGATGAACGTCACCATAATGAAATTGCGCATGCTCGATGACATCCGTGATGCCGCTCAATTATGGCGTCACTTCGACTCTAACGCCAATGTCGAGGTAAAAAAGCGCGCACTCATAAGTATGAACGACTGCTGGCGCTCGAGACATGTGAAGGACGCGCCGTTCAAACTCATCGAACAGTCTCTCGCGCTGCAAGGCGTCCTTTTCCAGCTCGCTGGTTTGTACGACAACTACGCTCAACACATGACACGAACTTCCATGCTAGCTCGTAAAGCCGGTCATATCACTGAGGGTGTGCAGGCCATACGAAATCTGCGTATCATGCACGGGCGCGATCAAACGAAGTCGGATATGATAAGTTTGGGTACGTCGCCGTGGCGCGTAGAGGAAGCCAAGTTGTTGTGGGCGGAAGGCAAGTCAGAAGCAGCGATTTCCGTCGTCAATTCCATCGTGCAATCCATGCGGCCCGGGCAAAATTTACTCTTAAGCTCTCCAAAAAGATCGGAGAACGCATCGGCACCACCGAGCGCGAGGTTCTTCGAGCTCGTGTGTCTGCTGTCAAAGTGGCAAGCGCGCGCGCGAAGCGAGTCAAGCAAAGTCATCTTGAGCAAGTTTCTAGATTGCGTTTCCGGTATGACGGCCGCTTATGCAGATATTATGAAGGGAAAAGGAGTCCATGAAGCGAAGTGCGCCGTCATTTACTCGAAAGATGGCTTGAACGATGTGACGTCTGTGAGACTTTTGAGCAGAGTTCATTTTCGACTGGCGCAATTCACCGACGCTCAGTATCGCCACTTGGAGGACCGTCTTAAGTCTCCCGAGTGGGCTCGCTACGAGAGACTGCGTAAGCGGAACGAAGACGAGCTAGTGCGTCTCAAACGCGAAAAAGATACCAAACATCTCGCGCTCGTTGGTAAGAAAAAGGGCACCGGGGCGTACGAAGCGATTGTGAATGAGATAAACAGCATCACTGGTCGATTGTATCCACTTGAGAGGCAAGTGTCGAATGATCACGAAGAGGCGATGGGCATGCACGGTGAGCATAGGAACGCACTAATCACCGCTTTGCAAGGTTACCGCAGATCGCTCGAAGCCGGCGGTTGGAACGCCCAGGAGACTGTCTTTAGGATGATATCGCTTTGGTTCACTCACTGCGCCGGCGTCAGCACAAAGAGTCTCAGCGGAGGAACTCTCACCTCCGCGGTAAACGGCGAGATCGAGAAGCTCATCACTCGAGGCGCCAGAATCCCGAGTCAGATCTTTCTGGAGCTGTCGCATCAAATCATCAGTCGTCTGGGGACGCCGTGCAACGCTGAAAATAATTTTATCCAACTGCTCGAACATCTGGTGTTCAGACTGATTCGAGACCACCCGTATCACGTCATTTACCAAATTCAAGCACTGACGCGAGGTGATAGAGTCTCTCGTGCTGGAGTGCGTTCGCCGAGCGAAAAGATCGCCGCCGCGAAGAGGCTGCTGGAGAAAGATGGGTCAAAGTACCCTGAGAAACGGATGATGCTATCACAGATGGAACGATTGATCGAGGCATACATTCGCATCGCGACAATGTCGCTTTCAAGCAACAACGAGACGCCGTGGAAGCAATTGCCGAGCGACGTGAAGAAACGAGCGCTGAGTGATTTGAAGATGGTTCCTGTACTTACCGCACCACTAGCAATCGATCCGAAATGCGAGTACGCCGATGGAACCTTTCCATACTTTTCACACTTTGGTGACGCCGCACGACTTGTTGGCGGCATCAACGTGCCAAAAGTTGTGTCTTGCTACGGTTCTAACGGCAAAATCTATCATCAGTTGGCCAAGAGTGGCAACGACGATCTGCGACAAGATGCCGTTATTCAGCAGTTCTTCGGATTGGTGAATACGTTGCTCAAGCGAAACTTGAGCACGAACTCTCGGCGCATGCGTATTCGCACATACAAGGTCATTCCTTTCTCACCGGAGGCTGGCCTCCTTGAGTACGTGGACGAATCGATTTTGCTATCGAGTTATCTCATTCGAGCTCACGAGCGATATCGACCTTGCGATATGAAGCACGGAGATATCTCGCGGCTCATGAAAGGTTTGCCACCGTCCGAGCTACACAAAACGTATGAGGAGGTGTGCGCCAACTTCCGCCCTGTCATGCACAACTTCTTCTTGGAGAACTTTCCCGATCCGAGTAATTGGTTCGAAAAGCGCGTGGCGTACACACGATCATGCGCAGTGAATTCCATCGTCGGCTACGTCATAGGTCTCGGTGATAGACACAGCAGTAACATCATGATTGACAGATGGACGGCGGAGTTTGTGCACATCGATTTCGGTGTCACGTTTGAGCAAGGCTTGACTTTGAAGACGCCCGAACGCGTTCCTTTCCGCCTGACCCGTGACATCGTCGATGGCATGGGTGCATGCGGCGTCGAGGGCATCATGCGTCGATGCTGTGAGGAGACCATGAAAGTGCTGCGTTCAAACAGAGACGCGCTCACGACCATCATCGCCGTCCTCGTGCATGATCCCATCATCAAGTGGGCTGTCGGCGGTCGCCAGGACGCCGCCGCGTCGTCGAAGCATTACAACGGTATGGGCGATAGCCCCGTGCACGCGGACGAGGGTAACCTCGACGCCGAGCGCGCGCTCATGCGCGTAAAGCAAAAACTCGACGGTTACGAAGACGGCGAGCTCCGCTCCATCCAAGGTCAGGTCCAACAGCTCCTCCACGACGCGCGCGATCCGCACAAGCTCGCTTTGATGTACGCCGGATGGGCCGCTTGGCTCTGATAATTCGAAATGTAATCATAATGCGAGAACAAAACGTCGATCGATTCATCAAGGCTCGACCTACACGTGGTTGAGGTGAAATCGATGACGTCATGTTACATGTACGACGACAGAGCGACCAATTTTACGTCACTTGCCCTCGCGCACGCGACGACGCTCGCGCATGATGCGCGCTTTCACTTGCACCGAGTCCGTCGCCCAACCTCTCCGCGCCGTCGCCGGAAGAGCGCGCGCGTCTCCTCGAGCGTCGAGAGCGACGCGCGCGATGAACAAAGCGCGCGCAACCTTCAACGTGTCCGCGTCAGCGCTCTTCAAGCGTGTCGCGGAAGACGCCTCGCGCGCTGAGAGCGCGCCGTCGACGTCGCGACGATTCGTGGCGTTGTCACTGGCGCTCGCGGCGGCGTCGACGGCGAGTGCGCCGGGAGCGAACGCGCAGAAGTTCAAGGAGGTGTGCGACCCGACGGAGGACGGCGCGGAGTGCCGAGCGAACATTCTCGCGCAAGACGGGATCGACGTCGGCGCGTACGAAGTGGGCGGCAGTCGATCGTTCAAGGCAGCGAATCCGACGGGGGCGAAGACGAGCTTGACGACGTATCAGAGCGACACGCTCGAGTTCGTTGGCGAGGTGGAGGCGCTATTGGCCATGGACGTGTACGACGGCTCTCGGGAGAAGGCAGTCGCGGCGTTTCAGAAGAAGTCGAATAACTGGAGTGGGAAGTACGCCCCGGGTGGGAGCTCGAAGATGGCGTCCGGGCGGGCGTTCTACAATGCGTTGAACCAGCTCGCGGGACACTACTCGTTCAATGGGTTGGCGCCGATTCCGAAGAGTCGACTCGACGTCGTAGAGACGAACATCGCCAAGACCAAGGAACTCATCGCCGCTGGAAGATAGATTGAGTAATTAAACGACGCGTTCTTTGCGTCGTCGGCGTTGCAACTATCAAGCTAAACTAATCCCCATCAGCGTCCCATCGGCTTCAGCTATCACGCTTTAAATCGAATCGCGTGTACGCTTCTAAACAATCGCCTTTGCGACACGACCGCGGGCGCGTCGTCCACTCGCGCCGCCCTGACGACGTGCCACCCGTACCACGTCCCTCCACTCTTAAAATCGGGATAGTACGCCGACGATTCGTCCACGCGATGTCTCTCCGCGTCCGCGTCGAACGCCGCTCCGTCCCGATACTCCGTCGTCCCTCCGAGCTCGATCCATCCGATCACGCGCGCCCGCGGACCCGCTCCATCGTCACCCTCGTCGTTAAACATCGCCTCCCCGTCCTCGGACGTCCACGATTCTCCGAGAACCGCTCGGCCGTGCGTTCCTCCCGAGGTCTCGACCACCCAAACTCTGCACGGCGTCCTCCACGCGCGCTCCGACGCGTACGCCCGGACGTCCATCGTCTTCTTCCCGTCCACGAGCATCACCGCGTACGGCGGTTGGACCTCGAGCGCGAGCGCGTCGTCGTCCGTCGTCGTCATGACGCGCCGCGTCGTGACGCGCGCCTCCGTCACTCGCGCACGCGCATGCTCCGTCGACCACCGACGCGCTTGGAGCTCAAGGGCGAGGATAAGGACGAGGTACGGACGTCACCGCATCGCTCGATCGTCCACCGCGCGCGCGGCGTCGAACGCGCGACTGACGGGTGCGAATTCGATCGTTTCGCGCGCGCGCAGTTTGAAAGACTTCGACGGGAACGCGTGAACGCGCGCGAGCTCGGGACGATCGGTGCGCGCGACTCGGTGGACGGTGACGCGGTGCGTCGAGCGGAGCGTGAGCGCGAGCGCGAGCGAAGGATCGGGATCGCGGAGGTGAGAGAGGAGGAATAAAAGGATAAAGCGAGATGCCGCCGCGACCGCTCGTCGTGGTCGGACCGTCCGGGGTGGGGAAAGGGACGTTGATCGCGATGCTTCAGAGAGAGTTTCCTGATAAGTTTGGGTTCTCTGTGTCGCACACCACGCGGGCGCCGCGTCCGGGGGAGGTGAACGGGACGCACTACAACTTTGTGGACAAGGCGACGATGGAGCGGGACATCGCGAGCGGGAAGTTTTTGGAGCACGCCAACGTGCATCAAAACATCTACGGTACGTCCTTCGCGGCCGTTCGCGCGGTGTCCAAGCAGGGAAGGATTTGTATCCTCGATATAGACGTGCAGGGCGCGGAAGCGGTGAAGAAGTCAACGCTGAACGCGGCGTACGTGTTCATCGCGCCGCCGTCTATGGAGGAGCTCGAAAAGCGACTGCGCGGACGCGGCACCGAGGCCGAGGACGCCGTGTTGAAGCGGCTCGAGAACGCTCGAACGGAAATGGCGAAGAAGGACGTCCCCGGTTTCTTCGACGCGATCATCGTGAACGACGATCTAGACGCCGCGTACGAGGCGTTGAAGCGCGTCATCGCTGAGCGCGTCGAGTCCGATTCCAACTCTCGAATCGACCTAGCGAGGCTCGGTCCGTACGCCTTCGGCGTCGCGTGCGCCGTCGCCATAGCCGCCCGAGTCATCATCAACAAGGGCGGTCCGTGATCGTTTTGTAATCGAACGCGCGTGTGGCTTGACTCATCGAACCGCTCCCAAAAGCAACCACCTGGTGGGTAAAACTGGCCGACAGTTGAGAATCTGAATAGAATCACGCTCGGCACTTCGCGACGCGCGTCCAGCATGTGGCTCTTTCGCAAGCAAAAGACCCCTCAGGAGCTCTTGAGAGATAACAAGCGCTCGCTCGACCGATCGATACGGGAAATCGAACGCGAGCGGACGCAGATGATGAATCAGGAGAAGAAATTAATCGCAGAGATCAAGCGAGTGGCCAAGGCGAATCAAATGGGCGCCGTGAAGGTGCGTGCGCGGAGTCGATGCGTGATACTGTGATGTCATTGGAGTCACGACGGGCGTCCGCGCGATAGTTGGGGGCGAAAAGAGGCGAAAGAGCGGAAAGCGCGCGACGGACAGTTTGGCGCGCGAACGAGGCGACTGACCGAGACGATTCGCTCGACGCAGGTCATGGCGAAGGATCTCGTTCGCACGAGACACTCGATTACGAAGTTTTACGCCCTTAAGTCGCAGTTGCAAGGGGTGTCGCTGCGAATGCAGACGCTGAAGAGCTCGCAGGCCATGGCAGACGCGATGCGTGGGGTGACCAAGGCGATGAAGTCGATGAATGCGCGGTTGAATCTTCCGTCGTTGACGAATATCTTGAAGGAGTTTGAGAGGCAAAATGAAAAGATGGAGATGACCACGGAGGTGATGGGTGATGCGGTCGACGATGCGTTCGCTGGTGAGGATGAAGAGGAGGAAACGGAGGAACTGGTGAATGCTGTGTTGGACGAGCTTGGGTGCAATGTCGGGGCGGAGCTCATTTCGGCCCCAGCGACCAAGGTTGGGGTTGCCTCGGAGTCGAAGGCGGAGCGCGCAGCGGTATTGGAAGGTGGTGCGTCGGAGCCCACCGCCGGGAGCGGTCTGGATGACGACCTGCAGGCGCGTCTTGACGCGCTTCGAAAGTAATTCTCGTTTGTAAAACGTTTGACATGGTACAACAATTCCTAGCAATGACGACATCGAGATGACTATTCCACCTCGGCGAGGATCTTCTTCTTCCGAGCGGGCTTGAACTCCTTCTTCTCTGCTCCAGGGGCGGCATGGGCGACTCGTCTCTTCGCCTTGCGTGTCTCGGCGTCTTGCATAGTGCGGCGAAGTTTTGTCGCCTTGTGAATCGCCTTCGGCACGTGATGGTGGTTTGCGATGCGCCTAATTTCGGGCATGTGTTTGAATCTGTCCTTCAAAGACGCATTGTACTGATGCTTGCGCTTTTCTCGAGCCGAAAGCGTCCCCAACTGCGCGCTTGCATCCGCTTTCCAGCATCGAATGTTGAAGTCGTCCGACGCGCTGAACACATACGTTCCATCCATGGAAAAGCGCGTGCAGAACACACGCTGCATGCGCTTCGTGTGGTAACAATCCTTGGAGTGCCCAGCGTTGTAATCGAATATACGGATCGTTCTGTCGTAGCTCCCGGCAACGAACTCGCGCCCTGTTGGGGAGTAATCGATGTCCATGACAGTGTTGACGAAATCCTTGTGCACGCACGTTGCAATGTCCATCTTCCGCATGTCGTAAGAGTACAAGTTCGTATCCTCGTTTGCGACGGTAAAATTGAACGCCTCCATCGGATTCCAGCACAGTTTGGTCGACTTCGTCTGCATGATAATCTTTCGCAGCGGCGTCTCCATGCGAACGTCGTACAGCGCGACGGATCGGTCTGTGCCGCACGAAGCAAATATATCCGACTCCACCGGATTCCATCGCACCGAGAGCACAGTGTCTACCCCCCACTCGAACGTGTGCATCGGTTTGCCTCGCTCCATGTTCCAAACCTGCACCGTCGCCCCCGCGGTGGCGAACTCGTTCTTCCCCCAGTGCGCGTCGCAGTCCCTAAACCCGTTATCTTGCTGCCACACCGCCGTGGTCGTCACCTTCGGAATCTTCCGCGTCGGGTCACTCATATCCCCCATCTGTGCCTTCGGAAGCGTCCACAACCGCACCGTCGCGTCGTCACCGCACGAAACCACGAGTTTCCCATCCTTCGACACGCACACGCCGCGCGTCGCCCCTCTATGTCCGCTCAGTATTCGCAACGTCTTCCTACTCGGCACGTCCCAGATTCGAATCTCCCCGCTCGCATCGCCGCTCACCAACTCCGTCAACGACGTCGGCGACTTCGCCATGCACAGCACACCGTCCGCGTGTCCACCGAATTGCCCGACGAGCGGCTTGGCGAACACCTTGTCCAGCTTCACCGCGTTCAGCGCTCGCTTGTACTCCGTCGCTCGCTGCATCGGCCGGAGCTCGGGATCGAGATTTCGGTGCACCCTGAGCGCATCCGTCTTACACTCGCGCGTGTAGTCCTCCTCGACGCGGCTGATCACCTTGACGCGCATCGTGCGAGCTCGCCGCCACGAAGCCGCCGCCGCCGGCACGAATTCCTTCACGAAACGCGCTCTCGCGCGCGATCCACGCCGCGATCGACGTCACGCGCGCGCTCGATGGACGCCGGGCGTCAAAATCCGTCGCGCGTCGAGCCCGAACGACGTCGCTCGCGACGCAGCGCGCGGTGAAGTGTCGACGCGCGCGTCGCGCCGCCGTCTGATGAGGAAAAGAATCGCACGTCAGACGGCGACGCGTCGCGTTCATGCCGTTCGTGCACATCGCCTGGCTCCCGAAGACGGCGCGTAACGCCGAGGTCCGGAAAGAGGTCGCAAAGGCGGTGATAAACGCGCTCGTAAACGTAAAGTCGGCGGAGATTTCGCCCGATAAGGTTGTCGTGCGCTTCAGCGAAGCCGTCGACGGGTTCGCGTTGCCCGCGGGACACACGCACGAGAGCGTGGAGAAGAAATAAACGAACGATCGATATGATGCGAGGCGCGAGGGGAGTGGCGGAGGCGATGCGTGGGGTGAAACTCGCTCGCGGGCGACACCAGCTCGTGTGCGTCGAGTTGGTGAGCGACACCATGTGACCGAACGGATTCATCGGAAAGCGGCATCTGGAGCGAGCGATGCGAGCGGTGACGGAGAAACCGCTGGATGTGAGCAATCCGGTGCGATTTTCGGTGATTCGAGTGCCGTTCTTCTTAGAACCTGAGTATCCGAGGAACGAGTCGTGGAGCGAGACGAATCGAACTCGGCTCGAGAGGAAGTGGGGCGGTAAGGCGCAATTCGAGGCGCAGAAGCGAAGACACAGGCTCAAGGAGCGCGGAAGGGAAGTTGGGATCGACAGTTTCAATCTCGATCGATTAGCGTCGAGCACGATGCAGAGTCATCGGTTGGTGCAGTGGGTGACAAAGCACCACGGATGCGCCGTGAGCGAAAAACTTTACAACGAATTGAATCGAAGACATTTTGTAGAGGGACAAAAGCTGAACGATCGTGAAATGCTGTGCGATGCGGCAGCGGCGGCTGGGCTCGATCGCGCGAAAGCGGAAGAGTTCCTCGCCTCGGGCGAGGGCGAGGCCGAGATCGAGGGCGCGCTACACGTCCTGCGCAGGATGGGCATCCACTCCATCCCAAATTTCATCATCGGCGCCAAGCACGTGCTTTCGGGCGCGGTACACTCTTCAGAGTTGATCAATGTGTTCCGTGATATCGAACGAACGGGTAAGGGGGCTCCAGAGAGCGCTTTCTCAGCCATCCTGGGTATTCCGGATGAAGTCGTTGAAAAACCGTTGGACAAGTCGTACTTCGCCGAGGCCTCTGCGTGAACTACTTACTGTGAGGAGTTAGATTGACGTTGTGACGGCCGTACTGAAATCGTAAATCTTTACGGTGGTTCGAGTCTGATTACTCAATCCTTCTCTGCGGGGGTTCATTTGTCAACATCACTCTTTTATATATTATTTCAAACGCAATTTTTGTGCATCCATCATTCGTCGTCGTCGTCGTCGTTGCCTCCACCGCCTCCAGACGACGGCCTTGCATCTGTCGCTTTCGGTTCGGTAAACTTGAAGTCCATGTCGCAATCCATTGCCCAGTGAAACTTGTCGATCAGAGCCTTGGTAAACACCGTGGGAGGCGGTACTTCGTGACGCTTGCACCAAGAAAGCGTGATTCTTGGATCGAGGTAGTTAATCTTCGATGTGCCGAGAGACACAGTCTTCAATTCTTCCTTCATTTCCATTTGAATCGCCAACTTAGCTGCCCGCTCCTTGAGTGCGGTAAGCTTCTTCTTTTGGTTCTTGTCGTCCTTGTTCTTCTTCATATCGGTGATTTGCTTTGCGAGATCCTTCTTCTTATCGTTCAACTTACCCATTTGTTCGTCGTGCGCCTTGCTCACGCCCTTCTGGTGGTTACACAAGATGGCCACCTCCTTGTTAGCGGCGTCGTACTTGGCCTTCTTTTGAAGCGTCGTGAGGTTCGTATCAGTGTCCGCAAGCAAGGAATCCAGGGTGATGGACGCATTGTAAGTACGGAACACCTTGATCGTGAGACCAGGCATGAGAGTTTGAAGGTGCGCGTTCACCTTGGACGGATCAATCAAATCGAAGATGTCCACATCCGGACCCTTATCCTTGACAAAACGCTGGAGGCACTTGTACGCGACTTCATCGATCTTGTGCTGTTGCAGATATTGAATGGAATCCTTACCGAGGAAATCGAATTCGATGACGTTGTCCTCCATAAACTTGATATGACCGGCGCGAAGCGTACAGACACCGACAGTGTCGGCGAGATCTTCGTCTTTTTCACCACCCGCACGAAGGGCGAGTTTATCCACCAGATACGTCGTTACCGCGAGCTGAGCCATCTCTCTCGACTCGCTTTGCATGTTCCTCTTGTAGTCGGCGCGAATCTTCTCGATGAACTTATGCAGCGATCGAGCCTTTTCGTACTTCTTTTGGTCGCTCTCCGCCTTAACGGTGGACGTGGCGCCAAATTGCACGTACTTCCAATCTTTGACGTTGATCACATCATTCCAGCCTGCGAGCCAAGTGGCGGTGTCGTTATGAATGACCGCTTTCCACGAGTGTCCGGGCGGCGGCGGCGGCACTCTCGCGTCCTTTCCTATGTTGATCGTGATGTCTTCCGGCATGACGCGTCGCTTAATCTTTCCCATCTTTGGGTGCTCACCGCGACCTCGGAACAAACCAGGAGGTTCGATGCGGAAGTTGCCGACCTTTTCACGTCTACCGTCGATCGTTGCCCACGTGTACATCTCCTCAGCCTTGTCCTTCTCGGCCTTGATGCGCTTCTTCTCTTCGCTGGTCATCTGCTTCTTCTCCTCCCGAATCTTCGCAAAATGGTTGTACATCTTCGTGAAGTCACACTTTCGGAAGTCCGTGATGAACGCGTGCGGTCCGTTCGCTAGGGCCTCTTTAAACCCATCCATAAAGTTCTTCACGAAGACGGCCTTTTGAGCGTAATCCGTGTCCTTCATGACGGCAAAGAAACCAGCGATTTCCTCTTCGTGCGGCAGAAGCTTCACATCCTGACCATCGTACGTGAGTGGAACGCCGTGCGGCTCGTACGGAGGCGGAAAAACGACGCCGTTATGCTCGAGCGTCTTCCACATGATCACCGCACCCTTCTTCACGTAGCCTTCGCTGCGGTTTATCTTTGGTCGCTTCACCTCTGTTTTAGGACGGTCCGAGCGCTCCATCTTCGCTCGCTTCGCCTTGAGCTTTGCCTTCTTCGCCGCCTTCTCCAGCTTCTCTAACTCCAACGCTCGCGCGTGGATCCTTTCCATCTTCGCTCGCTTGAGCGCCTTTCGTCTGCGCTCCTCTTCTTCGCGCTCTCGACGCTCCCGTTCCAAACCCTCGCGCCTCACCGCGAGCGACCTCGAGTCCACTTCGTCGCTCGAGCTGTCCAATCGCGAGCTCGGCTTCGCCGGTAGTGTCACCGGTCTCTTACTCATCTTAAAACCGCCTCCGAGCATCGGTTTCGGCGTCACCGTAGGCGGCTTAGCCGCCTGCGTCACCGCCGGCGGCTTCGCCGCGTGCCCGCTCCCGTTCACCCCCTCCGTCTTCACCCCTCTCTGCGCCAGCGGCACGTCGTCATCGTCGCTCGACCCATCATCCGCCGTCGGTTTCGTCGCCGGCGGGGCGGGCGCAGCGACGGGACGCTCGATCTGCGATTTGTTTTCCACACTTCGATTGTGATTCGGATTCACATTCGTCGTCACCTGCGCGTGCGTCGACGGCGCGCGCGCCGGCGGCGCCGGCACCGACGCGCGCTGCGCCAGAGGTATCTCATCGTCGCTCGACGATAACACCGGCATCGCGACGGACGACGCGCGTCGCGCTCTGACGACTGGAATTTGATTTTTGTGATCGCCCTACACTCGGATTTCTTATGGGTAAACAGTAGTACGCGGTGCGGTTTCCGTCGAATGATGACTCGGCAGCCGTGCGTTCGCGAGGTGCGACGCTCGGACGCGATACGACGCCGCTTCGAGCGCGCGCGCGGACGTCGGCGCGATGGACGACGTCGGGCGTCGACGCGCGTCGGCGTCCGAGGGTCCACGGCGGAAGAAACGGACGCGAACGCGTGATTCCGATGCGTTCGTTGACTTCACCGAGCTCGCCGAACGCGACGCGCGCTTGGCGTCGCACGCGTCGTGGGAGACGCTCGAAGACGGGACGAGACGAGCGAAAATTGATTTTACGAGCTGGGAAGCCACGCGGGCGCTCACGGGGGCGATCTTGGCGGTGAGACACGGCGCGCGGGGATGGGACGTCCCGGAGGGACACTTGGTGCCGACGACGACGAATCGAAGGCGGTACGTGGAGTGGATCGAGCGTTTGTTGGCGGTGAGCGCGCCGGAGGGGGTGAAAGGGGGGGAAGGGGTCGTGGGGTTGGACGTCGGGACTGGGGCAAGCGTAATTTATCCCTTGATTGGGGCGTCGACGCGCGGGTGGCGTTTCGTCGGCACGGATGTCACGGACGAGGCGCTGCGGAGCGCGAGGGAGAATGTGGAGAGAAATCCGCACTTAGAGGCGCTGATTGAGATCAGGGACGCGAGGGACGAAAATGGCGGTCGAGCGAACGTCTTTAGAGGCGTCGTGCGAGAGGGTGAGACGTTTGCGTTTTCCATGTGTAATCCACCGTTTTTCGAATCCATGGAGGAGGCGGGGAAGAATCCGAACACCGCGTGCGGTGGAACAGAGATCGAGATGGTGTGCGAAGGTGGCGAAGAGGCATTCGTCAAACGCATGTTTAACGAGTCGTTGGAGATGAAACACGCGGTGCACTGGTTCACGACGATGTGCGGGAAGAAGAGCACTATGACGAAAATGCGCGCGTTGTTCCACGTCCTGCGCGTGCCCGCCATCCGGACCACGGAACTCGTGCATGGTAAGACGTCGAGATGGTGCATCGCGTGGTCGTGGAGCAAGGAGGCCGCCGCCAATGCGAACGTGCCGTTACCAGATCCCGAGAGGTTGGCAAAGGTTGCTAAGTTTGTGCGCGAACAGACCGCGTCGACGAAGTAGATTAGCGTAGATAGAGAGCACTTTTAGCACAGCACCAAGCAGAATAGTCTACACACAACACCCTATGGCTAAAAATTACAGCTCGGACTGAACACGCACGGCAACGCCTCGTCGTCGACCGCCCAGAACGGGAATCCCATGTCCATCTCGCTCGGTTCTGGTCTTCGAGTTCTCGCAGCCTTGCCGAACGCTCGGCGCTTCTTCGTTCGGGGTCGAGCGCCCCAGATCCCATCCTTAGGTCCGCAAGCCCACGGTCGAGAGCTCCCCGGCGCGTGCGTTTTCGCGTCCCACTCCGTTCCCTCTCCCGCCGGTGGCGACGGTAAATGGTGACTTCCCACGCCCACCGTCGACGCGTCGCCCGCCGCGCGCCTCACCTCATCCGCGTCCGACCCGAACGTGAACTCGTAATCCCGCAGACTTCGCTTCAAGTACTGTCTGATCGCCGACCCCTCGCTCGAGCGATGATCGTTGTACCGATCGTTCGAGACGACGTACTCGGCGTCTTCCGCGAACGCGTACGCGATGCACGCCAAGTCATCCGCCCCCCGATTTCCCTTCCGTTCGACGCATCGAACGCGTCCGCGCTCGACGAGTTCGCGTAACCGTTCATTTCTCCACACCCCACCGCCCAAATACACCACGTGTCGCGCCACGACGACGTTCAAATCGCCGCCGTCCGCCAATCCGTGCAGCGCCCCCTCCACGTACGTCCTCGGCACGAAACACACCACCTCAAATCCCGCGCGCTCGCACCGCGCCACCGCCTCGACGACACCGCGCGACAACGGCTGCTTGGACGCGCTTCCGTACGCCGCGCGCAGCGCCGCGGCGTAGCCCCACGCCACGTTCGCGCCGTCCACGACCACCAGCCGTCGCGCCGTCGATGCCGCGCCCGTCACCGATGCGTCGCGCGCCGCCGTCCCGCGCGCGCGTCGTCCCGCGCGCGGGGTCGTCGGCGTCGGCGTCGTCGCCGTCGACGCCCGTCCGGGCGACGCCGAAGACGCCATCGCGCGGCGTCGACGCCGCCGCCGCGATGTGTCGCGCCGGACGCGCGCGGGGTGCTCCGTCGCGTACTCTACGTCACGCGCGAGCTATATGTCACGCGACGTCGACGCGGGGTAAAATCGTCCCGCGGGGGACTTTTTTAGGGTTTAGGGTTTAGGCATCGCGCCGACGCGTGGGTGTGGTGTTTTTTTGTTTTTTTTTTGAAAATCGCATCCATCACACGCGCGCGCGTCGACGTCGTCGCCGCGATGGGCGCCCCCGACGTGGACGAAGACGCGCTCGCGCGAAGGATCGGTGCGCTGTACGAACAGTGGCGCGCGCATCCGGAGACGTTCGGTGACGCCGAACACGTCGTGATCGGGACCGGGGCGAATCGCGAGGAAGATTTGCGATACCTCAAGGGCGTGGCGTTGGAGGTGTGGTTGTTCGCGTACGAACTCCCGGACACGATGCTCGCGCTGACGCGAGGTGGGAAGATGCGGTGCGTCGCGGGTGGGAAGAAGGCGGCGTTGGTGGAGGGGGCGAGGGAGGTGTTGCGGACGTCGCGCGGGATCGAGCTGGAGGTGACGACGCGGGCGAAGGGCGCGACGGGAGAGGCGGAGGCGAGAGCGATCGCCGATGCCCTCGTCGCGGAGGGCGGTGGTGTGGCGATGGTGTTGAAGGAGAAGAATGAGGGGGTGATGATGACGACGATGGTGAAGGCGCTGGAGGAGAAGGGGGTGGAGATTAAGGATTGCTCGCACGGCTTGGCGGCGTGCATGGCGAGCAAGGATGAGAAGGAGGTCGGGTTCGTGAAGAAGGCGGTGACGCTGACGAGCAAGGCGTTGGCGTTCGCGGTGAAGGAGATGGAGGGGACGATCGAGGACGAGAAAAAGATGACGCACGCCAAGTTGAGCGAGATGACGGAGGACGCGATCATCGACCCGTCGAGGCTCGGTTTGAAATTTCCTCCCGAGGATGTGGACATCTGTTACCCACCAATCTTCCAATCTGGCGGTGAGTACGACTTGAAATACAGCGCCGAAAGTAAGGCGACGAAGTTGCACTACGCTCCAGCGCCGGCGGTGGTGCACATGTCCGTTGGGGCTCGGTACACGCAGTACTGCGCAAACGTCGGTCGCACGTACATGGTCGACCCGACGGCGGAGCAAGAGGCGGTGTACGCCGCGGTTCTCGCCGCGCAAGAGGCTGGCATCGCCGCGCTCGTCGATGGGGCCACATGTTCTTCCGTGTACGAGGCCGTGCGCTCGTCCCTGGCGAGCGCTGAGGGGTGCGACGGAGAATCTTTGGCGTCCAAGCTCAACAAGAATGTGGGCACCGCCATGGGACTCGAATTCCGCGACACCGCGTTCGTGCTGAACGCCAAGTGCGAGAACAAGATCTCGAGCGGGATGCTCTTCAACGTTGCCGTGGGTATTCAAGGCTTGACGGAGCCGAGCGCCAAGGAAGGGAGCAAGAGCGCGACGTACGCCGTCATGATCGCCGACTCGGTGCTCGTCGGCGCCGCCGGGGAAGCACCCGCCGTCCTCACCACCAACGCCAAGGGCGTCAAGGAAATCTCTTACGTCACGAACGACGATGAGTCTGAAGAAGAAGAGAACGCCGACGAGGTGATCGTCAAGGAGGGCGGGGTCATTCTCGACGCGAAGACTCGTGGGGCGCCAACCTCTGCCGAGGATCGCGAGCGCCGCCAGCGCGCGTTGGCGGATAAGAAGAACGCCGAAACGTACAAGAGATTGACTCAAGCGGGCGAAGATGAGGTGCAGAACGCCGCGGCGGGCTCCTCCTCTGAGTTTGTCTCGTACAAGGCCGTTCGTGATGTCCCGACACCGCGACACCAAGAGCTCGTGCTCGCCGTCGATCAAGAACGCGAGACGGTTCTCGTGCCCATCTATGGGCAGCTCGTGCCGTTCCACATCATGTCCGTCAAGTCTGCGTCGGTGAGCCAAGACGCCGGCGCATCGTTCATCCGAATCAACTTTCAGCATCCCACTGGTGGCGCCGCGGCGTCTCAAAAATACGCGGCGGCGGTTCGCTTCCCGAACTCCATCTTCTTGAAGGAGGTGAGCTTCCGAAGCACGGACGCTCGTCACGCCAACCACGTCGTGCAAGAAATCTCCGCGTTGCGTCGTATGATCATCGCACGAGAAACTGAGCGCGCGCAACGAGCTGACTTGGTTCGCCAGGAGCGTCTTGTTCTCTCCTCTGGGCGCGTCCACCGCTTGACGGGGTTATGGTTGTTGCCGACGTTTGGCGGTCGAGGCGGTCGTCGCGCGGGAACCTTGGAAGCGCACACGAACGGTCTGCGGTACCAAGGTGCCAAGATGGACGAGCAGGTCGACATCATGTACGAAAACATTCGCTTCGCGTTCTTCCAACCTGCGAAGAAGGAAATCAAAACCTTGCTTCACTTCCACCTGAAGAACCCGATCATGGTTGGCAAGAAGAAGACGCAAGACGTGCAGTTCTACCAGGAAGTCATGGAGGCCGTCCAAAACTTAGATGGTGGCCGCCGAAACATGTACGACCCGGATGAGATCGAGGACGAACAGCGCGAGCGCGAGCGCCAAAAGCAAATCCAGAAGGAGTTTAGCCATTTCGCCAAGCGCACGCAAGAGATTTGGGAGCGGGATTTCCCGCACCTCAACCTGGAGTTCGACTTGCCGTACAACGAGCTCGCTTTCCAGGGCGTCGCCTTCAAGTCCACCGCGCGTATTTTACCGACGGCTTCGTGCTTGATCGAACTCACCGAGTTCCCTCCACTCGTCATCGCGGCGCAGGACATCGAGGTCGTCAACCTCGAGCGCGTTGGGTTCCACCTGAAGAACTTTGACATGGCCATAGTCTTCCGTGATTTCACTCGAGAGGTGCACCGCATCGATCAGATCCCGACCACGTACCTCGAGAACATCAAGCAGTGGCTCACCACGCTCGACATCAAGTACTACGAGGGTAAGGCCAACCTTAACTGGAAGCCGTTGCTTCGACAAATCAAGGAAGATCCGGATGGATGGCTCGAAGCCGGAGGATGGGAGTTCTTGAACAACGAAGCCACCGACAGCGAGGAGGAGGGCGAGGACGAAGCCGAGAGTGAATTCGAGCCGAGTGGTTCTGAATCCGAAGAAGAATCCGAGGAAGAATCTGACGACGACGAAAGCGTGTACGACTCCGACGAGGAGGACGGCGACGAAGACATGTCCGAGGACGAAGAGGAAGGCTTGTCCTGGGACGAGCTCGAAGAGAAAGCCGCGCGCGAGGACGCCAACGCGAGCGACTCCGACGATCGACCACGAAAGAAGAAGAGATGATCGAGTATACATAGTTCTAAAGAAATTCAACTTCAAACATCAACCAACGATCGACCGACCTTCTCTCTGCGTTTGCTTCAGATCGCGTCGCACTTGCACTTCCGCTTTACTTTTGGACGCACGAGGATTCGCCCATGTCCTACCTCCTCCCCCATCTCCGCAACGGATGGGCCGTGGACCAAGCGATTCTCTCCGAAGAGGACCGCGTCGTCGTCATTCGATTCGGTTCCGACGCCGACGACACGTGCATGCGCATGGACGAGGTGCGAATGCGCGAGTGGGACAGAGACTTCGAAACATCCTGCTCGAACACTTTGAACGACGAGACTGACGCATTGACGTTCATTCGCGACGCAGACGCTGGCGGGATGCGCGGATAAGATTAAGAACTTTGCGATCATCTACGTGGTGGACATCACAGAGGTGCGATCGCGAGGAGAACGAGCGACGGAACGGTGGAGCGGGACGCGTTGGCTGACACGCGCCGAGCAAAGCGATACTGTAGAGCGCGGGGTGGGATTTGATTCGCGCGCGACGGTGAATGAGGGTGAGAAAAGACGTATAGACTAACGAGAGAGCGACGGCGACGCGCGCACAGGTGCCGGATTTCAACGGAATGTATGAGCTGTATGACCCGTGCACGGTGATGTTCTTCTTCAGAAACAAACACATTCAGATTGATCTTGGGACGGGAAACAATAACAAGGTGAACTGGGCAATGGATGATAAGCAGGAGTTCATCGATATCGTGGAGACGGTGTACACGGGGGCGCGCAAGGGACGGGGTCTGGTGGTGTCGCCGCGAGATTACTCCACCAAATATCGGTACTGAGCAGTCGTTCACTTGTTTCATCTGCTCGTTCGTTCATTCGTTCATTCTTATCGCTAGCCTATCGACGTGTAATAAATCTAGAAATCAAAAGTACCGGTATATCAGTGCTCGTCGTTTCGTTGCGTGTACATCTAATCTCATCACTCATCTCTTGGTCTTCGGCGTCGCACGTCGCGAATACCGCCAGCGGTAATTGTGTACTTTGCCTTTGCCTGAGGTAATCGAGGCGATTTGGTGACGAAAGCGACGCGCTCGTCGTTCTCCCAGCTCAAAATCACCCTTGTCGTGCACGCGTGCGCGTACGATTCCCCGAGCGCCGGGACCAGTCTCGCCGGACCGTCCTGCTGCGGCTTGACGGTGACTTGATTCACCGTTACCACCGCCACGTCCCGCGACGTCGCGATGGACATCAAACGATTCGTCATCTTTGACAAAATCGTCGTTCGCAGTGCCATGTCCTGGAAATCCTGCCTAAAGTGAAACGCCACGCTATCGATGACGACCAACCGCACCCTGGGATGCTCCGCGATGAATTCCCCGAGCGTCTCTAGAACAGCCAAGAGTTCGGTGACCTCGTGACATCGAAACAAATGTATCCCGCTCAAAATCTTCTCCGCCGTGTACCCCTCCAGCGCCGCTTTCATCTCCGTCCGTCTCTCGGAATCGCTCTCGCACGCCTCCATCCTTCGCAGATGCTCCACCAACGCCGACGCCACGTCCATCGCCCGCTCCGCCATGAAACTCCCCTCCGTGTCCACGTATACCGCCTCCCCATCAGTACCCCCGAACGCCTCCGGCGTGCTCGCGCTCACGCACACCTGCGTGCACATCTGCGTCTTCCCCACGCCTGGACATCCACAGAACTCGGTGATCTCTCCAGAACCGATTCCACCGCCCAGGACGTCGTCCAACGCCTCGCAACACGTAACCGTCCGCGGTCGCCGTCGCTCATCCTCCAGCACCTCCGCCGCTGATCGCGCGCCTTTCAGCGCCGCGCCCTCACCACCGTGTCGAGCCGCTTTGAGCGCATCGTTCGCTTCCTCTAAGGTTAAACCAGACTCGCGCGCGAGGACGCTCGCCGAGTTTTTGGCGATTCGAATGAAATCTCTCGTCGAGCGAAATCCCGCAATTTGCAGTTTCGATCGCACGCTGGGAGCGAGGGGAAGGGAGACGAGGGCGTGGGAGTCCTGGAACCACTCCGTCTCGGGGTTTCTGTGCGACGACGGGTCCATCGGGACGATCTGTGAGGTAATTAGTGACGATTCGTGGAGCGACAGGTGGACTGTTTAGATTTGAAGCTGCGCGCGGCTTCGTACACTGTGTTTGTTACACGCCGACCGACGCTCGGTCGGTCGAATCCGATGATGTGCTCTCAAATACGGGAAAATCGCGGGTGAGACTTGTGTGTGTGCGTTATTGAGTCTTGGCGCCGAGAGAGGCGCGGATGACATCGTAGACGCCGGCGAGAAACTCCCTCGCCCTGCGGCGGTACTTGTCCACCGTCGGCGCGACGGCGTCTCGAGCGCGGACGCCGGCGTCGAGAACGATGCCGTAGGATTCCTTCGCCTTGGCCGTAACGACGACGAGATACTTTTCGCGAACGTCCACGATTAAGTTGGAGATCTTCCCGGCTACCTCGGTCGTCGCGCCCTTGCTCTGCTCGAGCAACGCGACCAAGTTATCCGCGCTCGACTTCAACACGGGTTTGATCGCCCCATGGGCGCTCACGAGCGCGCCCTCGATCGCGTTTCGCGTCTCCAGCGTAAAAACTCTCTCCACGATCGCGCGTGCGCGCGCCTTCGCGTCCTCGACGCCCTTTCGAACCTTTTGTGTGACTCTTCGCGCCGCGCGTTCGCACCGCTCTGGCCCGTACGCGTACACCACCGCGAACCCAGCGATCGCGCCGACGAGGAACAAGCCCTTCATACCGATCACCGGCGTTTTCACCGTCGTCACATCGCCCTCGACACCCGCACCGCTCTTTCGCATCGAACCGCCGAGCGCGGCGCGTCCGGCGTCCCTGGCGCCGCCGACCAACCCCCGCAGCGCGTCTCGCACGCCCTCTCGAGCGATCGCGCTCGCCTTCGACGCCGCCACCGCGACGTCACCGGAGACGTCGGGCGTCGACGCGAGCGGGTTGAGCGTCGCACCGCCGCCGAACAAAGCGTCGACGCCCTTGGAGAGGTTGGGATCGAGCGAGCGGGCGAAATCGAGCGCCCGGGCGATGTAGCCGACGTTCTCGCTGTACGCACCGGCGGCGAAGGCGGCCGCGGGGACGAGGACGCGTGTCGTCATTCTCACGCGTCTTTCGGCCGAGGGCGGCGCGCGAGACGACGTGTGCGGCGTAAAAGATTAATGACATTTGTTTTTAATTTTTTCAAATGAGTTTGTTCCCCCTGCTGCGACGCGAAGACGCCCGGTGGTCGAATCCGGTCGCGGGCGCGCGTCGAGGGGTGGATTAAGGAAGAAAAAAATAAAGTAACAATGTTTGCTGTGTACACGCGATGCGTCACCGTGAATCAGAGATTCGACATTTCCTCTCTTCGCTCGTCGACGCTCCAGCACTTGCCTCCGGATTTCACGGTGTCCGCGCGACTGGCGAAGGAGGCCTCGTCGGCGGCGGTACCGTCGGCGTACGCCGCGGCGGCGTCGCGAATCGCAGCTTCGCTGGCACGCTTGGCGATTTGTTCGAGCGTCTCGCCCGTGTACGTGTCCACGCCGTCGACGACGCCGACGCCGCTCGCGACGCGCGCGCGCTGGCGAAACGCATCCTTCTCTCCCTTGTGCTCCGAGTCGCACTTCGAGAAGCACGGTACCATGACCGCGGCGTCCTCGTACAAAGGCGGCGGCGTGACGCTAAACTTCCACTGACACGAAAAGTCATCGTAATTCGGTTGAATGTGTAAATCCATCCCGAAATCCTCCTTCAACCACTCCTGCGACGGCGCCTTGCACGTGTTCACGCACACGCTCGCGCACTGGGACGTCTCCAAGAACCGGCACCTCTCCGCCTTCACCGACTGCGGAACTCTAAAAGTTTTCGGCGCGTTCGCGAACGTCTTCCTCAACCACTCCGGTGTGGGTACCTCCACGTGATCCACCCCCTCCATCGGCCCCATCAACCACGGGAACAGATTCGTAAACACCAGGACAAACGCCCAGTTCGAGAACCACTCCGGCGCGTTCGGATGAATCACCTTTTTCCAAATCGGCGGCACCCATCCGATCCCCAACGCCGGTAAAATCCCCGCGAACACTCTCTTCGCCCGTATCTGCACGTCCCGCGCCGTGCCGTCCATGTCGTTCACCTCTCGCACCGCCGGCATGATGGCCGCGAAATCCGTCCACGGGCGCCCGTCTACGTCCCGCCCCACCTCTTCGACTAACAACTTCCGTATCGTCGCCGTCAACACCTTACTCACGGGCGACGCATCGATGGAGGCGTAATCCACCGCGCCGCTCGGGGTCAACGGCAGCGTGCTCTGTCTCGGGACGTGTCCGCGCCACGCCGCGTCGGGCGGTGACCCCGACGGAGACGCCCGTCGCAAAATCGTCGCGCATCGCGTCCCATCCCGCGCGCGTCGCGGTGCGCGCGCTCGGGACGTCGACGCGCATCTCCGCGCGTCCACACCGCGCATCGTCGCTCGCGCGCGTCGCGCCCGCGCGCGTCGCGGGGCGTCGCGCGACGTGGACGCGCGGCGCGTGTCGTGTCATACTAGGGTTTAGAACCACCCCGTAGGGTTTAGCACCATCGGTCGGTCGTCGTCCCACCGGGACCGGTGCGAATGTCGTCTCGGTCGTCGACGCCGCGCGGGCGTGACGCGTCGACGCCGCGCGCGCGTGGGCATGGACGCCGTGCTCGGGAGCGAGAAGCCCCATCGCGCCCCGCGCGCCGGGGCGAAGGCGAAGAAACGCGCGGACGCGGTGAAGCGGAAGCGCGCGGACGCGGACGGTGGCGGCGGCGGTGGGAACAATCCGCGGGCGTTCATCTTCAGCGGCGCGCGAAAGGCGAAGCGGGCGCGCGCGGTGGCGATCGAGAAGCAAGAGCGTAAGCTGCGAGCGCCGACGAAGGATATCGTCGAGGGTGAGGAGGCGCCGCCGTTCGTGGTCGTCGTTCAAGGGCCGCCGGGGGTGGGGAAGACGACGCTGGTGCGGTCGCTGGTGAAGCACTACACGAGACACGCGTTGAATGAGATAAAGGGACCGCTGACGCTGGTGACTGGAAAGAAGCGAAGGATACAGATCATGGAGGTGAAGAATGATCTGAACGACATGGTGGACGCGGCGAAGGTTGCGGATTTGGTGTTGTTGTTGGTGGACGGTTCGTTCGGGTTCGAGATGGAGACGTTTGAGTTCTTAAACGTGCTTCAGGTGCACGGATTCCCGCGAGTGATGGGGGTTTTGACGCATCTCGATCAGTTTCACGACGTGAAGAAGTTGAAGAAGACGAAGAAGTTGTTGAAGCATCGGTTTTGGACGGAGATTTACGACGGGGCGAAGCTGTTTTACGTCTCGGGCATGTCGCAAAACGGGAGGTATAATCTTCGAGACACGATGAATCTGGCGCGATTCATCTCCACGGCGAAAACGAAGCCGCTAATTTGGCGCACTTCGCACCCGTACGTCGTCGGCGACCGCTTTGAGGATATCACCAAGCCCGAGCTGGTGCAGGACAATCCGGTGTGCGATCGCGAAGTCGCCCTGTACGGGTTCCTACACGGCTGTAACCTGAAGCATGGACAGCTCGTGCACGTCGCCGGGGTCGGAGACATGGCGGTCAAAGAGATATCGCAGCTCCCTGATCCGTGCCCGCTCCCGAACAAGGAGCGAAAGCAGCGAAAGTTGGATGATAAACAAAAGCTTATTTACGCTCCGATGAGCGACGTCGGCGGTTTGTTGTATGATAAAGACGCCGTGTACATCACCGTGGACGACAGGCAGATGAACTTCTCGAAGCGTCAATTAGAAGAAAAGCTCACGGCAGAGGGTCGAGCGTTACCCGATGATATGGACGTCGATTTCGGGGTGGAGATGGTGCACGGGTTGCAGGACACGCGCATGACCGTCGATGAAAAGCTCAAGAATAGTGAGATCTCCCTCTTCAAGGGGAGTAAATCTCTCAAGGGTGAAGATTTCGTCAAGAAGAGCGCCTTTGATGTCGACGACGACGATGAGAGCGACGGGAGCGACGGGAGCGGCGATGAGAGCGGCGATGAGAGCGACGATGAGAGCGACGATGAGGATGCTCACTTTCCATCCAGAGGTTCGAAGAGACCGGGGGACACCAGAACTCGTCGTGCTGCAGATTTTAGCGAAGAACCAGAAAGGGGCTATGAAGACGCCGATAGTGAAGAGGATGAAGACGAACGTGACGATAACGAAGGCCTCGGCGCTGGCGCGTCGAAATGGAAGGAAATGATGCACGGGCGAACGCGTGAGAAGACGCTCATGGAGATTATCTACGACGAGACTGAGGGCACTACTAGGGCAGCGAATGCGGGTGATGATGATTCTGGATCAGATTCGGATTCCGATTCGGATCTATTCAAGTCTCGGGACGAGTCGGATTCAAAGGTTGACGCCCTCGATTCGTTTGATCGCACTAAATTCTTGCCGGAAGTTCGTTCGTCGCTGGATATCGACGACCCTTCGCTGCGGAACAGATTCGTCACCGGTGATTGGGACGCTGCCAAGGCAAGAGGAGAGGCGAAACCGCAGGCTGAAAACGATGAGGATGACGAGGTTTACGGAGACTTTGAAGATTTGGAGACCGGTGAAAAGTTTGGGCCGGGCACGAGCGGCGGAGATGACGAAGAGGAAGAGGAGGGGAGCGAAGGCGGTGCAGACGCGGAAAACGAAGAGCAAAAGCGTTTAGAAGAAAAACGCGCGAAACATGAGGCTATGTCGGAACGTACTGAGAAATCGGCAAACACGAAGAGTCCGAACTTTGTCGATCCCGATGGTCCGTCATCGTACTTTGAGTTGGTGAAGAATCAAATGAGAGATGAAACGGCGAGATCGCGCTCGATCCTCGACGTGTTGCCCAAGAGCACGCGACAAGCCATGGAAGGCTACCGTCCTGGGGCGTACCTTCGCATCGTTCTCGCCAAGGCACCGTGTGAATGGGTGGAAAACTTTGATCCCACCCGTCCCATTGTCATCGGCGGCATCCTCCCCGGCGAGGAGATCATGGGTTTCCAGCAGCTTCGTCTCAAGAAGCACCGTTGGCATCGCAAAACGTTGAAAAACCGAGACCCTTTGATCTTCTCTATCGGATGGAGACGATTTCAGAGCATACCGGTCTACTCCATGATGGATGCGAACTCGCGACATCGCATGATCAAGTACACACCTGATCACATGCACTGCTACGCGACGTTTTACGGACCGTTGAATCCACAGAACACTGGCGTCATTGCGTTCCAGAGCATGGCCTCGGCGCAAGCTAGCTTCCGCGTCGCCGCGACGGCAACTGTACTCGAGTTCGATCACTCGATCAAAATCGTGAAGAAGCTGAAACTTGTCGGCACGCCGATCAAGGTGTTCAAGAATACGGCTTTCGTCTCCGGAATGTTCAACTCAGCTCTCGAGGTGAGCCGATTCGAGGGTGCGGCGCTTCGAACCGTCTCTGGTATCAGAGGTACGATCAAGAAGGCGCTCAAATCCGGAGAGGGCGTGCACGGGCAGAAGGATGGTGGCGTCAAAGAGGGCAGCTTCCGCGCCTCTTTCGAGGACAAGCTTTTGCTCTCGGACATCATCTTCCTTCGAACGTGGACCAAGGTGGACGTCCCCAAGTTCTACAACCCGGTCACGACGGCCATGTTCAAGGACACGAAGGATTGGCGCGGTATGAAAACGGTCGGTCAGCTCAGATACGAAAAGTCGCTACCGATTCCAGTCAATCCGGATTCCATCTACAAGCCCATCGAACGACAGAAGCGCGTCTTCAACAAACTTCAAATCCCCAAAGCTCTTCAGCAAGCGCTGCCGTTCAAATCGAAGCCGAAACTCGAGAAAGCGCGTCGTCACGAGACGCTCGAGCGTCGTCGCGCCGTGGTCCAGGACAAGGAGGAGAAGAAGCTCACCACCATGGTGCAGCAGCTCAACACGATTCGCAACGAAAAGATGGAAAAACGCGCCGAGCAGCAAGAACGCCGTCGCGCTGTGCGCGCCAAGGCGCAGGCGATCGAGGACGAGTGGCGAGGCAAACTCAAGAGAGAGAAACTCAAGAGCGCGTACCGCGAGAAGAGCAAGGCAGAGGCCGCCGCGGCGCGCGCGCGAGAGTCTGGTGGAAAATTTACGAACAAGAAGAAAGGAAAGTCAAAGGATTGATTTTACCGGTAGCCGACAAAGAATTGTTCTTTTACATCACCACTGCGCGCAATTCATCCCCGCACCGTCGTCCCAAACGCCACGTTCGTCTTCACCCTCGATATACGTCCGACCCTGAGCCCGCGCGTCGCCGTCGTCGCCGTCGTCGCCACCCGTCGCTCCATCGCCTCGGCTTCCCGCTCCATCCTCCGCTCGCTCGCCGCCGCGTCCGCCAACGCCTCGATCACCCCTCTCGCCCTCCGCTCGATCTCCGCTCGAGCCTCGATCGCGAACGCCCTCGTTTCATCGTCCGGAAACCGTCGCCACGCCTCCGTTCCTTCCCTTTCCTTCATGCCATCGATCCGCGCCGCCGCCTCGTCCTCCGCCTCGGCGCGCGCGCGTCTGCTCACGCACGCGTACTCCATCGCCCCGCCCAGCGCGCGCTCGACCCGCTGCCGCGCCGCGCTCTTCCCCAACGACGCGTACGGTGACGTCAACGGCGCGTCTTCCATTCGCCGCGTTCTCGGTGTCGCGCGCGCGTCCGAATCGTCGCACACATCCGTCCACGGCGCAGCCATCGGGACGGTGGAGCTCGTCATCGGCCTCGCGCGCACGTCGAGCGCGGGCGGACGCGCGCGATCGAGCGCGTGAAACATCGATCGAGCGCGAGGTGACGCGGTCGCTCGACGAAGTCGTGAATTCGAGCGCGCGGTGGGGCGACGCAGTGCGGTCGGGATCGGTCAACGCGACGGCTGACCGTTGTCGTTTCGCGCGCGCGCGGCGCCCGGGCGACGAGGACGCGCCGCGGTTTCGCAGCCTACGGTGATTCGATTACACTTATACGCTTTCATAATGTAAAAAACCATCGCCCCGGTGATTCGATGGATCGCGCGCACGCGGGAAACGTCGGTGTCGCTTCGTCTCGCCGCGCGTCGGCGACGACGCGGCTGTTCGACGGCGCGCGACGCCTCTCGGCGGCGCCGGACGTCGATTCTCAGACGTCACCGTCGACCGTCTATCGCGCGACGTACTGCGCCGGCGGCGCCTGCACGACGATGACCTGCGGTTGCCCGCTCGTCGGTCCGGCCACCGCCGCCGCGGCTTGCCTTTCGTTCACCTCTCGGCTCACTTGGCACTGCAAGCACGGCGTGCAACAGCAGCACTCAAAGCACCCGATCGGTTGATTCACCCCGACGCGGTACAGCGCGTTTTGCAGGATTCCCTTGGCGTAGCACGGGTACACGCATCCGAGGACGTAACCGACCAGGCAGGTGCCGTAGCAATCACCCGCCCCCGAGCGTTGGGCCACCGTCCCGAGGTGACAGGGCGTGCAGCACGCGGCGTGGACGCAATCGCCGCAATCATCCATGCAGCCGAACAGGGTGTTTCGCATCGGGGTCACCTGCATGACGCCAGCCATGACGACGGAGGATTTCTTCGCGCGGTCGTGCGACGCGGTCGCGCGACGCGGTGTGCGTCGCCGCGTCCGTGGTCGTCGACGCGCGTCGACCGCGCGCGCGAACGTGCTCCGGCGGTGACGACGGATAAGTATGTATCGCGCGCGCACACGGCGTTCGCACCACGTCCACTACGACGACGCACGCGAGCCGCGGGGCGCGCGCGGACGCGCCAACGCATCGCCGCGATTTTGGCGCGAGATCCGATGGCGTCGCGTCGTATTTCGTGTACGAACGAGCCCATCGAGAGAAAATAAGAGATGATAAAAGACACCGGCGTACGTGGAGGTTTTTTTTTTCCCGGGTTTTTTGTCTTGAGTCACGACTCAGGGCACATCGATAGGGTCACACCTTTTGCGACGTACACGTCGTACGCGTGTGCGCGTCCATCGTCGTACAGCATCACATTTACCGCTGTGTGCGTTCCACCCCGTCGCGTCCGCCGCGTCGCCCCGTGGACGCCGCGCGCGGGACGACGGGGACGTCGACGGGGCGGTGCGCGCGCGCCTCGGACGTGGACGCGCGCGGTCGCGCGCGCGATCGAGGCGCTCGCGTGGATATCGCCCGAGGGATCGGCGTCGGGCGCGGGCGTCGCGCGTCGCGATCGAGGCGTGGGCGTGGACGAACGTCGCGCATCGCGCATCGCGTCGCGGCGGGGGGGGCGTGGACGGAATTTGTTTTACGCGCGCGCGCGACGCCCGCGTGGCGCGGCGAGCGATCGCACGCGGTCGAGTGTTTTCTCACGCATCGCGCGTTCGGTGAATTAGTCGTCGAGACGCGCGAGCGGGGACGTCGTGCGTGAGAATCGATTGACGATCTCGATCGGTGGAGGGCCCAGAGTGTGCGCTCGATCGCTCGCGCCGCGGGCGGGTCGCGTCCTCATTACGTGGTACGCTCGTGCGCTCGGTCGTCTGCGTTCGAAGCGCTTCGAATCGGGAGATACGAACCGATCGGAGCAGCGCCAAAACGCTCGTTTAATCGGAGCGCGATCGTCAGACGCCGGTAGCGAGCGCGAAGAGCGCGTCGCGAGAAGGACGCTCGTCGGAGCGTTCCATTCGTTCGCGCGCATCTTTGGATTTGTTTGATTTTGTTCGATTTCATCTCGTCGTCGCCGTTGGAAAATTATCAAACGTCGATTCGTTCTTCCTGTTAAGTAAATAATAGGCGGTTCGCGGATTTGAGAAGGGGCTCAAAGAGCGCGCCGTCGTCATGTCTCAGTCGGAGGACGTCATCGTCCTCGGGAGTCAGGGAGCCCAGCTCTCGTCCTCGAGCGACATCGATGACGCGCTTCCACGGGTCGTGAACGGCGGTGAGGCGTCAACGTCTACTTCCGATGATGTTACGGACGCGATGGATCAACGAGGCGACACCGCGGTGGACGTTGCCTTGGCCAAGTTGCCTCTGGCGATTCGCGCCAGGCTCGTCTCCGCGGCGAGATCGTCACCGAGATCTTCGCACCCTGAGCTCATTGAGGAATGGGCGGAGACGACTAAGCTTGAGGTGGCGTTAGTTCAGCAAATTTTTGCCTCCTTCGCGCCGAAAGCTCGCGCTTCAGCCGACGCGGCTCGAGACTCAGTGGCTCGCATCGCGGCGGAGGACGACACCCAACCGAGCGCGGAGGAAGAGTACGCCCCGGGCGCCGCCGACGTTGAGATGGACGATGGTGATCGTATGGGGGTGTCGTCGTCCTTCCCACCGCAACCGCCGCTCGAAGAAGGCGTTCCATACCCAGGCATCACTCAAGACTTGTCGGTTGCCGTGGTATGCGGCGACATCAACGGCGTGCTTGAGTTGAAGCGAGGTTACAAAAAACTCCAGGAACGCGTGAAACTTCCGAGCGGTGAAAGTGTGACGCCGAGTAAGTTCGAAAGCGATGCCGGGCGTGGCTCCGCGAAGAAGTGGAGGCTCAGCCTGCGCGTGCTTCTCCCAAATGGGAAAAGGGGTGAAACTGTGGGCGAGTGGATCGACAGACATGGTGCGCACCCGAAAGGTTTAGTCATAGGAGGGGAGAAGGATGAAAAGGCGACTATGAAGGAGTCGAAGGCACCGACGAGATCGGCGTTTGAAATACAGTTGGATGCTTTGTTAGATGCGCAAGGGGAAATTGAGATACGTAGCACTGCTAAATTTGTGCGACTGATGCGGGAGACGACGAAGTCACAGGAGCGCGCTCTCTTGCTTCAGGTCATCCGAGGTACGAAGAGCAAGACCGTATTGCGTACTCTTGGTCAGTCGGAAGAGGTTCAAGGTCTGAACGTGCTCCAGGATTGGATGGAGGACGCAAAAAGGAAGTTTCAATCAACTCTTTTAGTGAGCGTTCTTAGAACGCTGAAGATGATTCCAGTCAATCTGGAGTCTCTGACGCGCACGACGATCGGCGCGAAGCTTAGCAAGCTCAAGTCTTACGCGGTGCCCGTAGGAGAGAAGGAGCATGGAAATACAGAAATGAACACCAAGGTAGTCTTGTTGTCAAAATCGGTGAAGAATACGTGGAAAGAGCAAATCACTGCGCCACACGCGTACGCCAAGCCGCAGCCTCAGGCGGTGCCGGTGGCGAAACACGACGCGATGCCGGTAGCTCCCACTGCTTCCGCATCAAAAGCAGTCGAACTTAAGGATGATGATCTCTTCGGCGGTGCGAAGAAGACTGCGCCGACCAAGACGACGGTGGTGAAGATGGTGACGAAGATCACGACCGAGCGCAAGGTTGCGGCGCCGAGTGTTGCGGTAAACACGAAGAAGCCGAGCGTGAGCGTGAACGATTTGTTGAAAAAGTCGACGAAGGTCACCGTTCCCGTCACGAAGGAGCCTCCGAAGGAGCCCGCAAAGGATGACAAGAAGGAGGACGAATCCGGGAAGAAGCGCAAACGTAAGAGCGTCACCTGGGCCTCGGACGATAAGCTCGAGCAGGTTCGTGTGTTCGAGAAGGACGCCAAACGACCGAAGGAGGTCGCATTCCCAGATCCAGTGAGGGATGGAGACGGCACGGATGCCGAGAGCAGAAGAGCGCTGGAGATGCGAGACAAGGAAGTTGAGGCGGAGAGAAAGGCGGCGGCGAAACAGCATCAGCGGCGCATGGATGAGATGCGTGCGACGGTCAGTTGGCGACCGCCGAGGCGTATTCCGCCCACGGCCGAGGCCATTACCCCTGGCTCAGAGTCCGAGGAGTTCGAGAGAATGCTCCGGGTCGAGGCTGAGAAACCGAGCGTGAAGTACAAGAACTCCAAGGCCATCCCGGATAGTCCCGCGGAGGCGCCGAATGAAGACGATCAACTCGATCTCGACAACACGCCCGCGTTCTTCATGGAATTTCAGGAGGAAGAGTTGCCGCAGCAAGTGTCTTCGGAGATGCGCTCACCGGTACCGGCGCCGCCACCGAATCCCATGGTCGGCGGACCGCTGCCGGCGAACATCGATTTCGCCGCGCTGAGCTCGCTCATCGCGTCCGTGCAGCAAGGCGCCGGTGCGCCTCCCGCACCGTTCGTCCCGCCCGCCGCTCCGTACCGGCATCAGCCCCCGCCACCACCGACGCACTACGCGCCCCAGCAGCCGTACCAACCCGGCCTGGTCCAACCTCCGCAGGTTCTCGCCAAGCAAGCCACCGTCGGCGGCGCCCCGGTTCCGGTGCAAAACGCCTTCAACCACAACGGTAAAACATACCGCGGCGTCTGCGCCTTCTTCAACACCCCTCGTGGGTGTTCATGGGGCGACAAGTGTGGATACCTCCACGAGGTCGGCGTGACGCCGCCCCCGCAGTGAGTCCCGCTCGCATCCGCCCGCGTATCGACTTCGAAACGTTTGTCTTTCACAACGCACGCTCACTAGCGATGACCGTCGTCTCTGCGTCGTTCGCCACCCACGCGCGACGTACGCCCGCGCGACCGTCCACGCTCGATCACGCCCCGCGCGCGTCGACGGACATCATCGAACGTCGCGTCGCGACGTCGCCGCGCGGACGTATTCAATTTTAATTTTCCCGAGTGTCCGAAAATGGTCGATTCGCCTTCCTCCCCGCGCGCGCCTCCGCACTCGTCGTCGTCGCCCATCCGCGCGCGTCCTCGCTTCGCGCCTCACTTCGCGCGCGTCGTCATCGCTCGCACCGATCGAGCCCGCGTCGCGCGCGAACGGTCCGTCGACGCATCGATCGGTCGATCGAGCGTCACATTTAAACTTTTGAAATTGTTTCAATCGCTCGTCGACGCGCGACGCGCGATCGCTCGTCGTCGACATGTGGTGCTTCGACGTCGACGCTCGATGTGAGATCAGTGCGTCGGTGACGACGGCGTCGATGAAACACGCGACGCTGCGAGCGCCGAGGGCGTTCGAGGGGGCGGCGCGGGACGGCGGGTTTGAATTCAAACGCGTCGACGAGCCGCGCGCGCTCGAGGCGCCGGGAAAGGATTTCATCCTGAGCTTTGGCACCAGCGCGAGTGGCGCGAGAGAGAAAACGTCGAGAGAGATGAAAGTGAGCGATGTGAAGGCGATCTACGGGAAGTTTGTGAGAGAGGGGAAATTGACCGTCGAGGGCAAGGATGGGACGCGCGTCATGGTGCGAGGCGCCCCGGAGGAGTGCGCGAGAGTGATGCGAACGCTGACGACGCTGAAATCGCAACCGTTGGAGGCGAGGAAGAAGTATTTGCGCGCGTTGGAGCGGTGTGGTAAGTGCGTGGGGAAGTGCGAGGCGAGCGAGAGGAAGGAGGCGGAGCGACGGGAGAAGGCGGCGGAGCGGGCGGCGAGGGAGGCGGAAAAGAACGCGGTAAAGGAGGCGGCGAGCGCGGAGAAGAAGCGCAAGCGAGAGGTGGAAGAGTTCGAGAAGAATGTTGCGAATGCTAACAAATTGGACCGCGAGCTCGAGTCATTGGAGGAGAAGAAATCCAAGGTAGAGTCGACCAAGGCTGAAATCGCGGCGCTGAAGAAAGAAATCGAGGGCGAGCGAGACACGCTTCAGAGGGAAAAGGAGGAGATCGTGCGACGTCGACGCGAGCTCCAGGACGAGCGTCGCTTGCTAGAGCACCAGGCTGGCGAGGTCGCGGCGCAGCGGGAAAAGCTCGAGACCGACCGCAATCTGACCGAGATGGAGGGGAGGAAATTAGAGGACGAGATAGAGCAAAACACGCGTCGCAGGGCGCAGATTGAGACCGAGATCGCGGACGTACGCGATCTTGCGAGAACGCTGACTCTGGAGCGCGAACGCTTAGCTCGCGTCAAGTCGATGCACAAGGATGAGCACGAGCGCGCGCAGCGCGCGGTAGATGAAGAGATGGATCGCCGCGCGCAGCGGGCGAGAGCGAACGCTTTCAACATGTCACCGTCGACATTTTACGGTAAGAAGCCAAAGAAGGCTGTCGTTCTGGACGATGATGATTCTGACGACGACGACGACGACGATGATTCGAATAAAGAAAACGAGGCGGCCGCAAACGCCGCCGCAGCGGCGGCGGAGCGACATCGACGGCTCGAACGGCTCCGGCAGGCAGAGCTTGAGAGACAGCGTCGAGAGAAGCTTGCGAGAGAGGAGCTGGCGCGCAAACAAGAGGAAGCGCATAGGAAGAAAGAAGCAAAGAAACAAGAGCAGATGGCAGCCAAGGCGCAACGGGAACGACAGCGTCTGGAAGAGGAAAACTTCAAGCACCAGCGAGAGAGAGCTAAGCAGCAAGCCGACATGCGCGACAAGGCTCGGGCCACTTCCGTTCCGACCGCTTCAAGGGCCATGTGGGATTCGCACCTCCAGGCGCTCGAAAACTTAAAAATTCGGTCTGCCGGTAGTGTGGGGGAGAGCGACATTCCTTGGCCGCCCGCGCACAACATCGCGTTCTTCACTCCGTCGGATGGTTTCATTGAGAAGAAAAAGAAAGTGATGAAGGCGACGCTGTCTTGGCACCCGGACAAATTCCAGCAAAAGTACGGCAGCTTACTCAAGGAAGAAGAAACCCCGAAGATCCTCGCGCGAGTCGCCGCGTTATCTTCGCAATTCATCGAACTTCGACAAGTGCTGAACGATCAGTACTACCGGTAGTCGAGTCCGGCGCTTTGAGGAATTATTTAGAAGACGCTGTAACACTTGATATAGTCACATCGGTATTGTTTTATCTTTACAACCACATCGATTTACTCTTTTGGAGAACGCAATCGCGCTCGTACTCCTCGACGTGCTCTGGGACTTGCAGCGCTTCGTTCACGCCCTCGAGTCGAACGTAGTCGCGCAAGTCGCACACGGTGTCGACGTACTCGACCTTGTTAAAAAGTCTGGACTCCATTTGAAGCATGTCCATGGCCCAGATCGCCGCCTTCAAAATCGACGTCGGATGCACGACAAACACGCATTTAAGCGTGTCTCTGTGTTGCGGTCCGAGCGCGATGTACAGCTTTCGAATGAAATCGAGACTCGGAGGCGCGCCGTACGCTCCACCGGCGTGATGATACACGATGACGTATCCTCGCGCGTTCGTCGTGACCCCTTTCAGCTCTTTCGTGACGTGCACTAACAAACGCTCCTCTTCGCCTGCCTTGATGAGACGCTCGAGATACGCGGCGACCGCGACGACGACTCGTCGTCCGATGTAGTCTCTTCGGTCCTCGAGATAAATCGCCTTCATGTCACTCACATCGCTCACGTCATCGGACTCGGCTCTCTTCAAGAGGTTCTCGCGACGCGTTTGCTCGTCCTCGATCGCGCGCGTGTCCGCGCACGTGAGTGAGTCATCCTTAGGCGTTCCTTCGTCCGCCCACCAATCCGTTTCGTCCTCTCTGATGATCTTCTCACGCATCCTCCGAGTCTCGGGATCGACGTTCATGGACATGAATACGCTCGATACCGCGGGCACGACCGCGTCATCGCACTCGTCGTCAAGCTTCACGCCCGTGGTTTTATTGAAATCGCTCGCCGAAGACAAACGCCCAGGTCTCGCATCGATGCGCAACCGTCTCTCCGCCAAAATCGGCTCGCCGTACTCGTTGAACTCGGGCTGGCCCTTCAAGATTGCCTCTGAGTACGCCGACTCGGCGTCGTTTCGCGGAAAGTACACCGTGAACGCCTCAAGGTAAGGCTCTAAAGCCTCCTCCTCGACGCACACGACGATGGCGTCAAACTTCGATTGCCACCGCTCTAAGAACCGACGTATCGTTCGCGCGGCGACCATGGCCGCCTTATCGGTCGGATATTTTTTATTTTCCAAACACGGCGACGTGCACGCCACCGTTCTCGCCTTGCACTCCTCGACGCACTTGGACAGGAGCGCGACGTAGCAGTGACACAGCGCGTTCTCCGCCGCCGTCGCGTACTTCTCCGCGTACCTCGGCCCGACGACGTGCATGATCCTGCGCGCCGGTAATCGACATCCACTCGTCATCGCGCACCCCCCCGTGCGCGCGCGCTCCGCGCTCGCCATCTCCCGCTCCAACTCCTCGCCCGCCAGCGCGTGCAGCGTTCGCTGGCGCTCCGACTCGCCCACCCGCACCCGACGCATCGACTCGTTCGCCGCGCACGACACCGCGTCGACATCCATGAGCCACGGCGTCCCCTCGTCCCACCCATCGATCGCGCGCACGCGCACGATCGCGTTCAAATCTTCCCGCGTCGGAAACCGTCGATCCGTCGTCGTCGTCGTCGTCGCCGCCGTCCCGACCGTCCCCCGCGCCGCGCGCCCATCCACCCCCCACGCGTCGACGTCCCGCCACGACGTCTCCGCCGCGCGTTTCCGCGCCCGCACCGTCGTCTCGTACGCCGGCGGCTCGTACGTCGGCGCCATCGTCCTCGACGCGAACACCAAACGAAATCCTTCCTTCGCGCCACCGAGACCGCCGTCGTCGAGCGCTCGCTCGACCGAGACCGCGCACGACGTCCTCGACGTCCGCGCGACGGCGTCGTCGACCGTCCCGCGCGCGCGCCGTCGCGGTGTCGCGATCCTTCGCCATCGATGCTGGTGGTCCATCATCGACGCGACACATTCGCGCGCGGTGGCGTCGCGGCATGGCGAAGAAGGGCCGCGAGGCGCGCATCACGCGCACCATCGCGCGCGTGCGCGGTGAACGCCCGAGCGCGGCGCTGCGTAAGCGCGCGTTGACGTCGGGGACGGGAGAAGATGGGGCGATGCGTGTGAAGTCAAAGTGGCGGCGACGGAAAGACAAAGAGCGCGCGCGCGTCGAGGCGAGAGGCGACGCGTCGACGCCGCACGGCTACGACGGCTCGCAAGGGACGCTGTTGATCGGTGAGGGGAACGGGTCGTTTGGATTGGCGCTGGCGACGTTGTTCGGTGGAGACGCGACGCGGTTGGTGGTGACGACGGCGCTCACGGCGCGGGCGAGCGTACGGGCGTACGGGGAGAGTTTCTGCGATACGGTGGAGGCGTTGGAACAATCGGGGGCGAGCGTGGCGTATGGGGTGGCGTGCGAGACGTTGGCGAGCGAGAAGGCGCGGTTGGCGTTGAGGGAGCGGATCGGGGGTTCGGCGTTCGATCGCGTGGCGTTTCATTTTCCAGACGCGGGCTGCGGACGCGTGGGAACGCTGAGCGTTCGCGCGCAGCGGAATTTGTTGACGGATTATCTCGAACACGCGCCGAAGTTGTTGAAGGCGACGGGAGAGTTGAGGGTGACGATGCGCACGAGTGAGCCGTACGCGGCTTGGAACGTCGAGGCGCTCGCGGCCAAGGCGGGACTGGCGTTCAAGGCGCGCGTGGAGTTCGATCCGGCCGAGTTCCCTGGATACGAGTACACGCGAACGGTTTGGGCGGATGATGAAGACGGCGACTGTTCGACGGACGCCGAGGACGCGGTGACGTACGATGAGAACGAGGAGGGCCCGAACGAGGACGCGGTGACGTACGTCTTCGTCAAGGCTGTGAAACCCAACGGAAAGTAAAACTTCAGAGCAATCTTCGCGATGGAGAGTAGTAGAACGTTAGTGATAGAAGACCGTAGAGAGACACAGGCGAGGAGAGACGCCGACGAGGTTTAATTCTTGATGTAAATTCGTAAAAAACTTTTCATTCAACGCTTGCGCGCTCGGTCGTCATACAGTACACGCACGATTTATTCGTCAAAGTCCGGATCACCGACGACATAGCCGGCGTATTGCAGCATGGGAACGACGAACGAAATAACAAGCAGGCCGATGACGACGTTCGCGAACACGTCACGCTTTTCGTTCGTCTCTTCGCGCGACTTGAAGGTGCTACCCTTTGGACCCTCATACTTTTGCGGCGGACCCGGGTCCGCCTCGCCCTCGAGCACCGCCGCGATGCGCTTGACCGACGACACCAGCGCTTCGTTGTACTTCTCCTGCTCGAGGTTGATCCCGTAGTTGCTCGTCAAAACGCTGTCGATGAGGTCATCCCCGACCGCCTTTAAGAACTTCGGCCCGCCCACGACGGCGCCGTCCTTCGTCGACTTCACCAACAGCAAGTTCCCCTTGTCGTTTCCAATCTCCACCGTCGGGTACCACGTCTCGAGAACCTTATCCCCGAACGCGAACGGATCCGTCTCGAACACGAGTTTTCGCACCGTGATCACGTTCACGTGATACCCGGTTCTTCGTTCCAGCTCGGCGAGCGTCTTCCCCACGCTCTGCTGCGAGCTCTTCGACATGATCGCCGCGTCGTCCACGATGTACCCGTTCGTCGGCGCCGGCGTTTGCAGAATCTCAAGTTCACCCGCTCGCGCGACGTCGACGCCACCGAACGCGAGCGTCACCGCGAGCGCCGCCCCGCACGCGCTCGCGCGCGCGGCGTCGCCGATGCGTTCGATGACCCCATTCTCGGTCGTTGGTTTCATCGACGCCCGCGCGACCGCGCGCGTCGATCGACGCCCGCACGTCATCCCGAGCTTCATCGATCGCGCGTCCACGCGAGACGTCGTCGTCGTCGCCATCGCGCGCGCGTGTGCGCCATCGCGCGCGATCGCGCGTCGTGCGGATACGCGGACACGTCATCTTTCTCCACATCGTCTCCATCACCCCGCGTGTACGCACCGCGCGTCCGATGTATGCACGAATCGTATCCGCACGCGTGTCCGCGTACGCGTACATCGGCGTCGATCGAGCGATGTATCGACACACGTGGGGATTGGATAAAACACCGACGGACGCGGCGCGGTCGTCACGGTTACGGGTGCGCGTGTGCGCGGCCGCGCGCGCCGACGACGCCGCGCGCGCCCGGGGGGGCGCGGCGTCGCTCGAGCGCGCGCGCGCGCGGGGGCGCGACGCGCGGTGTCCCGGTGTCGCGCGCGCGCGGGCGATGCGATGGGCGATGGGCGCGAATGATGAATGGGCGATGGGCCGGAGACGGCGCGGCGACGGGCGAACGGCGCCGCGCGCGCGCGAACGGCGCCGCGCGCGCGGTGACGATGGACGGGGTGATGGGCGATGGGCGCGCGGGGGGGGTCGCGCGCGATGGGCGCGGGCGAAGGGCGCGATGCCGCGCGATGGAGGGTCGCGGTGTGACGCGACACAATGACGACACATCTCGACGCGATCGTCGACGACGGCCGAGCGCGCCATGACCACGGTCGCTTCGACGCCGCGCGAGGTCGGACGACGATGCGCGTGGCGACGACGGGTGCACGTGAAGCGGTTGCTCGGGACCGCGCTGGAGGTGGTGGTGGTGATCGCGTGCGCGATCTGGGCCACGCGCGGGTGGCGGACGGACGCGTCGGCGTACGACGCGGCGACGTACGACGCGTCGAACGGCGTCGAGACGTCGAGCGGTTGGACGCTGCGTGGTGCGTTTGATTGGATGGGGGCGTCGCCGCCGATGCCGCCGCCGCCGATGCCGCCGTCGCCGTCGCCGCCGCCGCCGCCGCCGTCGTCGCCGCCGCCGTCGCCGTCGCCGCCGCCGCCGCCGCCGAAGCCGAGGTTCGAAGAGAAATCGTCGACCACGCCCTTCGCCCCGGACGGTGGGTCGGTGGAGTACGGGAACGTCCATCGCGTGGCGTGTGCGAACAACTCGGCGCTCGTCGGGTTTGAATTTCAATCATCCGTCGAAGGAGAGGAGACAAAGGTGCGAAACGCCTACGCGTGCGTGGAGGCTTTGTTCGACCAAGGCGCGACGTTTGGACACGCAACGCTGGCGAACGAAACCGAGCACGGACCGTCGGGATCGAAATCGCTCGAACGAAACGCCTTGGACACGCTGAGCGAGCACGAAGTGGACTGCGCGGATCGTTTCGTCACGAGCTGGAATCTCAAACAGTGGAGCAAGTCGATATCCATCGAGTACGCGTGCGCGTCGGGGAAACCGACGCCGAAACCCGACGCGTGCGTGACCTCGGAGTCCGCCAAGGTGGAGCTCGACGCGAGCAAAGTGAGCTCGCTCGCGCCCGCGAAAGTGTCTTGTACCAAAGGCTCGGCGCTCACGCGTTTTCGATTCACCGGCGGCGCGTTCGAGTTCACGTGTTGTCCGACACCGGCGCTCGAGTGATCGCGCCGACCGAAACGCATCGACCGATTCGAATAAACATATATTCTTTCAACCGCACCGTGCGAACGCGTCGTCCGCGCTCGCGTCGCGCCGCGCCGTCGAACGCGCGCGCCCGCGGGTTCCGCCTCACACCCCGTCGCCGCCTCGCGCGCGCGATGACGACGATGGCGTCGTTCACGATGCGCCCGTCGACGTCGACCTCGCGAGGCGTCGCGTCGACGAACGACGGGCGGCGACGCCTCGCTCGCGCGCGCGCGGCGCTCGCGTCGCGCGTCGTCGTCCGAGGCACTCGAACGGGCTCGACGGACCCGACGCCCACGCCTGCGCGCGCCGTGGTCCGTCGCGCGTCCGCGTCGAGCGCGCGCGATGACGCGTCGTCGTCGGCGGCGTCACCGATCGGGAGCTCGCCGTTGGAGCGCGCGGAGGCGATCGCGCGGGCGTGGTTGACGCGGCGCGCGCGCGGGTGGACGCCGCCAAAGTTTTTGTGGCGCGCCACGGCGACGGCGTTGTTGTTCGGAAGCGTGCTGTATCGGTTGGTGCGGGAGCCGAAACGGGTGAATTGGGAGCAGACGTTACAGCAAATCGCGCGCGTCGGGCCGCAGACCCTGGGGGTGTCGCTTCTCACGAGCTCATTCGTCGGGATGGTTTTTACGATTCAGTTTTGTAAGGAGTTCGCAAAGGTTGGGTTGAAGAACGCTATCGGGGGATTGCTCGGTCTGGCGTTCGCGCGAGAGCTCACGCCGGTGATTTGTGCGATCGTTCTCACGGGGCGCATCGGGAGCTCGATCGCGGCGGAGCTCGGGACGATGCAGGTGACGGAGCAGGTGGACCAGCTCACGGTGCTCGGGACGGATCCGGTGGATTATCTCGTGATACCGCGCGTGATCGCGTGTTCGATCTCGCTCCCGATCCTGAGCGTGCTGTCGTTCGCGCAATCCCTCGGGGCGTCCATCCTACTCGCGGATTTGCGCTACGGGGTGTCGCCAAACGTCATCATCGACAGCGTGGCCAAGTACGTGGAGCCGAGCGACATCGGTGTCATGGCGGCGAAGTCCATCGCCTTCGGCGCCGTCATCGCCGCCATCTCGTGCGGATGGGGAACGACGACGACCGGTGGGGCCAAGGGCGTGGGCGAGAGCACGACGGCGAGCGTCGTCATCAGTCTCACCGCCATCTTTGTCGTCGATTTCGTCCTGTCGCTCGTCTTCTTCCAAAAGTAGCGGCGCGCCGCATGACCGTTTCATCGGTGCCATCGCCTCGCATTCTCATCGCAAAGCGTTTGTAAACACACATCGAAACCGTTCTCGCGCTCCACGTCCGCCCTTTCTATCCGTCGACGTCCTCCGACCTCAGAGCGCGCCTCGCGCGCCTCGCCATGGCTGACCCACCTCCTCCATGCCGACACTTCACCAGGGGCCACTGTCGACTCGGTGACGCGTGTCGTTTCACCCACGACCCATCCGTCGGTGTGCGAGCTCGATCGACGACGAAGAGCGGTCGGAGCGGTCGCGGTGGCGTCGACCCGAGAAAAAAAGTGCAACTCTTCACAGACTTTCTGAGAGAAACATTCGATGATTTACGCGACGCGCGCGTGCTCGACGTCGCCGGGGGCAAGGGTGCGCTCGCGTTCGATGTGTGTAATCGAACGTCGGCGACGGGCGTGACGGTGATCGATCCGAGACCGATGAAGCGGGACGCGCTGCGCGCGCGCTGGACTCGATGGCTCGCGAGCCGAACAGAGGTGGAAAAGCGAGACGGTGCGGCGGTTACGGTGCGCGAGCCGGAACACTTGAGAGTGTATTGGACGAGAGAGGTGTGGGAGGGACGAGAGCGGGCGGTGCGCGCGTCTTGGGAATTGGCGAGGTCGAGTCGGTGGTGCGTGAGCGGTTTGGTCGCCGACTCCGGCGATGGAAAGTACGAGGACGGAGCGAAAAGTGCGCGCGTCAGGGTCAGTGAGGCTGGCATCGAAGCGCCGATGGACGCGTTGGATGCGAATGAGGACGCGGAGAGCGACGCGACGTTCGAGGAGACGTTCGAGGCGCTCGATGAGGCGATTAAAAAGTGTACGCACGTCGTCGCCATGCACCCAGACCAAGCCACGGACGCCGCGGTGGACTTCGCCCTAGAGCGTGGACTCCCGTTCGCCGTCGTGCCGTGCTGCGTCTATTCCAAAGAGTTTTCCACTCGTCGTCTTCGATCCGGCGAGCGCGTGTCCACGCACGATCAACTCGTGACGTACTTGGCGGAAAAAGCCGGCATCGCCGACGTGCGCGTCGCCGAGCTCCCATTCCGAGGTAAAAATCGAGTCGTCTACTCCCTCGGCCGCGTTCGCTCGTCGTGCGCCCCGATAGAAAATTAGCGTAGACGTCCGCGCGCGCGACGTCATGGACGTCCGCCCGGACCATTAGCGTAGTCGTAGTCGGTGGAAAGCCTCGCGCTCGACGCCAACCCGCCTCCGCACTCACCGACCCGTCGCGCTCGCACCGCGAATCCACCGACGATGCGCGCCGCACCGACGCCGACGCATTCCCGCGCCGCGCCCTCGGCCTCGACCTCGCGCGCGCGCGCGCAATCGTCCGCGAGCGCGTCGATGACGATTCGACGTCATCCACCTCACGCCCACGCTTCCGCTTCGCACCGCCGACGCGTCGCCGTTCGAGCGCTCGAGGACCCACCCGAGGTGGAGCAATGGCAACTGTGGTTCGGTTTCATCGCCGGTCTCTCCCCGTTCGCGATCGCGGCGTACGAGTTCGGGAAGAGAGTGTTGATTCAAAAGCGGTGCGCGCGATGCGCGGGCGCGGGCTTGGTCGTCCTGGGCGACGACGGGCGAAAGGTCAAGTGTCCGGCGTGCGGTGGATTCTTACCGTGGGAATCGTGGGAGCGATTCCTCACGAGTGAGGTCGGGAACGGTGGGGTGGTGCGAGCGCCGAAGGGACAGACGAGCGCGTTTTACAGCGTCGAGAAAGCCGTCGAGGCGAGCGAGCGCATGGTTCGCGACGACGCGCGCGAGCGGGCGCGCGAGCGCGAGGACGCGTAGGTCTTCGACGGTGTAGTCATCGAGCGCTCGCCCGTGCTCGGCGCTCGTCGCGTCGTCCATCGTCCTTCGCGCCGCGCGCGCGGCGTCCCGGTCGCGTTCGCGCCGCACACGTCGACGCGTCATGCGTCTCGCCCTCCGCCGCGTCGCGCGTCCGGCCGCCGCGATCGATCGCGTCTGCGGTCGTCGTCGCGCGCGCGTCCACGACGGCGGTCGCGTCGCCGTGGGCGCGTCACCGCGGTCGCCGCCGCCGATTCCAGAACTCGGTCGAGGATACGACGCGCACGACGGTTCACATCGCGCGCGCGACGCCTCGACGAGCGCGGACGCGTCCGAGGACGATGCGTTTCCGCTGAGCGCCGACGGACGGGCGCAGCTGAAGGGCATGCGACGGAGCGAGCTCGCGAGATGGCTCGAGGCGACGGGCGAGCGCGCGACGCGGGCGGACGGGTTGTTCGCGACGATGTATCGGGATTTATCGATGAACGCGTTCGAGGGCGATGGACGGTTCGGAGAGAAATTTGCGTCGAGATTGGAGCGCGTGGCGACGATGGATGGAGATTTGCGATTGGGTGAGGTGCGACGGGCGAGCGACGGGACGCGAAAGGTTACGTACGCGCTGGCGGACGACTCGGGAGGAATCGTGGAGAGCGTGTTGATCCCGAGCGGACGACGGACGACGGTGTGCGTGAGTAGTCAGTTAGGATGCGCGATGAACTGTCAATTTTGTTTCACGGCGACGATGGGTTTGCGGAAGAATTTGAGCGCGGCGCAAATCGTCGAGCAAGTCGTGCGAGCCAGACGGATGTGCGACGAGGGCGAGGAGGTGTCGAACGTCGTGTTCATGGGCATGGGTGAGCCCTTGCACAACATAGATGAAGTGCTCAAGGCGGTGGATATTCTCCTAGACCCTCGAGGCTTGGCGTTCTCGCGTAACAAGGTCACCGTGAGCACCAGCGGTTTGGTGCCGCAGATGGAACGCTTCTTGACCGAGAGCGAGGCCTCGCTCGCGGTTTCGCTCAACGCGACGACGGATTACATCCGAAACTGGATCATGCCGATCAACCGCAAGTACAACCTCGACTCCTTGCTCGGATTGCTGCGAAGAGAGTTCCCGCGAACGGATCTCGGCAGACACCAACGACAGGTGTTCTTCGAGTACATCATGCTCGCCGGCGTGAACGACAGCGACGAGGACGCCGATCGCTTGATCGAGATCGCGAAATCGCTCCCGTGCAAAATCAACCTCATTTATTTCAACACGCACGATGGTGCGGAGTTCAAGTGCAGCGATCAAGAGCGCATCGCGGCGTTTCGCCAACGCGTCTCTGACGCCGGCGTGACGTGCACGATTCGCGTATCGCGCGGCGACGAAGAAATGAGCGCATGCGGACAGCTCGGTTCACCCGGAGACGTTTCAAACTGGAAACCACCGCCACCGCGCATGCGCGATCCGCGCACGCGCGCCGCTCGCGCGTGAGAAGGAACGAGAAGACAGGGTCGTCGTGTTGTATTCATTCGCCCAGTCAGCGCCTAGTCAGCTCTTTCAGGTTTCTTTATTAAACTCGCAGTTGTTTTACAACGCCCACTACGTAGTGTACCTCCGGAGCGCTCCGGGATTATTATAATAGGCCCGCACTCAGGCAGTGACTTAGGGAGTGACTTAGGGAGTGACTTAGGCAGTGACTTAGGGAGTGACTTTGGCAGTGACTCGGGCGTTCGGGACGCGCGAGAAAAGCGCGATCGTCGCGCGATCGTCGAGCGGCGCGCAATCGTCGGAGGCGCGTCGTCAGTCGCGAAACAACCCCGATCGTTGAAACTCGAGATCGGACGCATTTCTCAACATGGCCGCCGCCTCTCGCTGCCCGTTCGCCTCCGCGAGCTCCAACGCGGTCCCGCTCGCCGTTCGATGCAAATTACTCTCCGACGCGCTGTGCCGAATGTTCGCCCCCCCCTCGAGCAGCGCGCTCAGGCTCGAGCTCGACCCATTCGCCGCGGCGACGTGCAACGCCGAGTACCCCCCGTTCATCTCCCTGTTCACGCACGCCCCTAACCGTATCAACAACTTTGTCATCGCTCCGTTCCCCGCGTGCGACGCCACGTGCAGCGGCGCGCACCCGTGTTTATTCTTCGCGTCCACGTCGCATCCCGGCCACTCACACAGCGCGATCACCACCTCATCCGCATCCGCCCGCACCGCCTCGTGCAAAGCCGTGTCCCCCCCATCGTCTCGCGCGTTCACGTCCGCCCCGCGTTCGAGCAACAATCGACACACCCCCGCGTGTCCCCACGCCGCCGCCGTCATCAACGCCGTCGTCCCCTTTTCATCCCGCTCGTCCACCGCGGCGCCGAGCTCTAAGATCACCCGCGCCGCGTCCTCGGCGCCGTCCTCGCACGCGCCGAGCAGGGGCGTTCGCAGGTCGTGCGTCGGCCCGTCCCGCGCGAATGCGTCGAATTCCCGTCGCAGCGTCGCCGCGCGCATCGCCGCCGCGCGTCGACGCATCGTCGCCTCGCTCGGGCGCGTCGGCGGGCGCTCGGGCGCGGCGTCCATGGTCGATCGCGCGCGCGAGGAGCGATCGCGCGCGTCGCGATGTCCACGGGCGCTCGATCGCCGCGCATCCATCATCGAAAGGGACGATCGAAAGGCACGCGTGAACATCGAAAGGGACGATCGAAAGGCGCGCGTGGACATCGAAAGGGACGATCGATCGAACATCGCGCGCGCGCGCGTCGACCGCGACGACGCGTCCGCGCGCGTCGCGCGCGCGCGGGATGCCGAGGGATATTTTCCCGCGTCGACGCGCGCGCGCGACGGCGCGACCGCGAGGACGGAGACGCGATGACGCGCGATGATGTCGATCGCGCGATGCGACGATCGGTCGCGTTCGCGTCGCGGTGGACCCGAACGCGCGTCGCGCGCGTCGACGCCGCGCGCGCGATGGGAAAAATATCCATCGTCCATCGCGCGCCCGGCGCGGCGCCGCGTCGACGCGCGCGCGATGGACGACGGCGATTCGTATCGATGGCGACGTGGTGTGGCGTCCACGACAGACTGTTTGCGCACACAAAAACGCGCCACCACGACCCATCGCCGCATCCATCGCCGCGCCGTCGCGACGCCGCGCCGCGCGCGCGATGGGCGTCCGCGGCCTGTGGACCTTGCTCGAACCCGCGGGGCGCCGCGCGGACGCGCGCGCGCTTCGAGGTCGACGCGTGGCGGTCGACGCGAGCATTTGGCTCCATCAATTCATCCACGCGACGACGGACGACGACGCCGCGG